GCCAAATTATGACGACACGTGTCTGCAGCACGATTAGACACTCATTTATATAGTTTATCAGCAAGAAAAAAGTTTATTTGGGGGTGACTTGCTCTATAAGGGCAATTCTCATCTGTTTTGTTTGATCTCATCTGTAGACATTTATTATAACTGGGGATGTCAAACAACTAATTTTTAAATGTAATTAAACATAGGCTGTGAATTAATCAAAATTAATCACTATTTCCAAAAATGACCGGCTTTTGGAAGAGTTGCGCAACACAACGAATCGATGACGCAATTCGTTGCCAACGCTTTTAGTAATCGATTTTCATCGAATTTATCGATTCGTTGTTGCAGCCCTAGAAGCAAGCCTTCGTGTATATAGCTCTCGCTCTCTGGAATGCACTGATGCTCACTATCCATCAGTCATCATCTATTGGTGTCTTCAAGTTATGGTTGAAGATACACTTTTACGATTTGGCTTTTAGATTGGGATTTTTTAACTTGTGTGTTTTGATCGCTACTTTTATCTGCTTTTACTGACTGTTTTATTGGTGTTTTTATGTTGGGAGGCACTTTGGTCAGCTCCCATGCTGTTTTTTAAATGTGCCATATAAATAAAATTGGGAAACTCCTCCAGTTGTCTCAGGTTTGAAGGGCACATTTTCCAAACGGCATGTTTCAGCTCAATAGGATTGAGTTCAGGGTTCATAGAAAGCAACTTTAGAATAGTCCAATGTTTTCCTCTGAGCCATTCTTGGGTGTTTTTAGCTGTGTGTTTTGGGTCATTGTCCTGTTGCAAGACCCATGACCTGTGAGACCAAGCTTTCTGACACTGGCCAGCACATTTCTTTCTAGAATCCCTTGATAATCTTGAGATTTCATTGTACCCTGCTCAGATTCAAGACACCCTATGCCAGATACAGCAAAGCAGCCCCAGAACATAACAGAGCCTCCTCCATGTTTCACAGTAGGGTCAGTGTTGTTTTCTTGATACACTTCATTTTATCTGCATGTGAACATACATCGAGCTTATGTGCCTTGGCAAAAAGAAATGTTTTTGTCTGAGTTGTCCATAGGACATTTCTTCCAGAAGCTTTGTGGCTTGTCAACATGTAGTTTGGCATATTCCAGTCTGTTTTTTTTAATGATTTCTTTTCATCAATGGTGTCATCGTTGGTCATTTCCCATGTAGTCCACTTTGGCTCAAACAATGACTGATGGTGCGATCTGACACTGATGTTCGTCGAGCCTGAAGTTCACCTTGGATCTCTTTTTCTGGTTTTTCCATCTTTTTGATTTGGCCATGTTCAGGGAGGTTCCTGAGACAACTCTTTCCCTTGCTTTGCTTCCTCTGGTCTATGTTAAATAATCCATCAAGAAAAGATTCCCATCAGAGCATCTGAGCATTATCTCACTTGTTCCCATCTTGCCGTTGATAGTGTGTGCAATCGGATAGAGCACTGAAGAGGAGCTCATAGTGCTTCTGTGACACACCTGTGCACAAGCGCTTCCAGATCTGGAAAGTGGAAACCCCTTTTTCAGAGAGTTTTGCCAACCTCTGTTTATTTAATTAGGATAAATTTCCCTTGATTTTAAAACTTTGGCTGAAGTAGCCCTTGTTATTCCAGCACCCACTGCGTTTGCTCGCAGGCAGAGGTTGCACAATCTATTTTTCCCCATCACTTTCATTTTTAAAATAATAAAAAACATTCAATACCGTTGCAGTTTGTAACGTCCAAAAGGGTCAGTTTTCTCCTATATATTGATCGACATAACCTTTCATCTACAGAAATAAATCTACTTTCTGGGTGACCTTCTAAATCCAGTTTCTCTCAGATACAAAGAACAGTTGCTACAACATCTAGCTTCCACCACAACTCCTCACATCCACTACACCCCATCTCATTATTCATATCTTGTCATGTACCATTAGTTTAGGAAAAATAATTAAATTCATTTTATAAACTATATACTGGCTCTGTCTGAATTAATCCGAAGTGTGTTTATGGTTCCTGAATAAGCAAAGAAACCTAGAATCTTCTGATTAATCATTCAAAGATCGATCAGATTGATATTTCATATTTGTATGGAATATCACATCTTATTGGTCATAATTAATATGTATTAATTGCTACAAGTTTAATTATTTTTTTCATTCATATTTAGTCCAAACAAGCTGATCTGAGCGACCCAATAACATTTAAATAATGGATTTAAGCGATTTCTCTTAAATTAGGAACACTTCACCTGTTGCGGCCAAACACACATACCTTCTGATCCACGTAAACCTGAACTGGTTACCTGCTTCTCCATCCGAAATCAAATTTCTAAGAGGTTTGCTGTAGCTGCTATATAGTGAAGAGGTTGTAGACTTTGCCTCGGACAGAATCATTATATTGTTACAGAGGCTGAATCCATGCTTTGCTGCCATACCTGTGACTTTGTGCGTCATGTCTCATAAAAGAAAGAAAGGCAATTATGTTCAGAAGAAACATTTATTTAAATAACACCACAATGGTGGGCACCACAGGGAAACAAAGATGAGGGTTCTTTTTAACACTATAACCGTGTTTTATACGGGTCGTGATGTTTCCTACACTCAACCAAGCAACAAATACAAAATTAAACAAAATAGTTGTCTGCTGTATTTAGAACAGCCAATGACTGCACATGTCCTCCCAGCCTTCCTAGACATGTTCACTAAATAAAAAAACTTCCACTTCTTGCGTCTTATTTTCCAAAAGCCCGCTTCGTACACTGGGCTACAGCTGCCTGACTGAGAGCGGTCACCACAGCAACTTCCGGTGATTACGCCAAAATGGTATAAAAGCAAAATGTCTCCGTCAGTATGTGTGCTTGTGAGTGCACAAATGCTGTCAGAGAAGTATAAACTAGGCTTAAAGCCTGCCGTACACGAGAGCAATCTGTTGAGCAAATGGCCCTCGAATGATCGTTTGCTCAGCAGATTGCTCGCTGTGTGCGCCTGAATTTCACTGAGTTTTCCGCCTCACGAGAAGCTGAAACAAATATCTGACCTGTTAGATATTTTCTGCCTCACGGGAGATAAAAACTCGCCGTGTGTGCACTACTGAGCTGCTGGCTGAGCTGAAATATTCAAGTGGCCAGTCAAAGCACGTTCTCCACTCACATGACCCCAAGATGGCAGCCCCCTGTCTGCATGTCTGAAAATAAACAAGACAGTGACAGAGCTGGAAACAGAGGAAAAGCCTCTACTTTTTTGTTGAGGAAGCGTCGCCGCCACTGGCATTTCAAGGTTAGGAAAGTATGGGTACGGTGGCTGGAAAGAAGGGCAGGCAAGGAGTTTAGGCCAATCTACTCCAAGAGAAGACCCAGACCTGGAAGACCCAGAATCCTTCCGACAGTACCGCTGCCTGGATCCTTCGAGAGGGTAGTGGAAACAGTGGGCCCATCAATCTGCAAGATACCGTTTTGTTTATTTTTCTGACACGCAGACAGGGCAAGGGGCTGCATCTGAATACATCTTGGGGTCATGTGGGCGGAGAACGCGCTTTGATTGGTCACTAGAATATTTCAGCTCAGCCAGCAGTAGGGCTGCTCGATTATGACAAAAATAATAATCACGATTATGGTGACTGAAATTGAGATCACGATTATTTAGGACGATTTTTCAATTTATGTTGATTTTATTTGTTTTTATTCAGTCATAAAATTGCTCAGGGCACAATCAGGACAAAAATAAGAAACAACATGATCATTAAAATAACTCCTGATTCCCAGTATAAAAAGACCAATATACTTATAGCTCATAGTTTGTGACCCAAGGGCTATAGACCTTGGTTTAACTCATTTAAGTCTAACCAGTACAGACCCAAATACCAATATCTTGCAAATACTGACAGCAAGAATTACACAGTGGCATTTATAACAAATACATGCAAATAAATTGATGTTCACAAAATGTTGCATAATATGTATTTCGTTGTGTCAAGGTGCTGTAGGAGCGTGCACAAGCACCGTGTCCTCAGAGAGATTAGTTATTATTTATCAGCGTGAGGAAGTTATTTCTACCTTATTTATAAACTATTTATTTACAAGTCCATCAGTTAATGTAATAATTGTCCCAACCATAGCTGCACCCCCCCACCCCCAACCCGGTCTCACAGCAATCAGGCGCAAGCTGCACGTGTGTCTATATATATATATATATATATATATATATATTTTTTCTCTCCTCTCTCTGACTCACACTCCTGCACAGTAGGTGGCGGTAATGCACCTTAAGTTGGTTGCCACCCGCCATTTAACCGGAAAGGAAGAAGAAGAAGCTGCACGTGTGTTTTGTGCGCCGCACACGCACATTTAGCCGTTTTTAGTGGCTCAGGAGTCCGCAGGTACGGTGTGTGTGTCACTCACTCTGGTTAATCCAACAAGGAGCCGGCTCCGAAAGCTGTCTTTAGCGACTGACTCGTCACTACATCATTCCCTTTCCTGATGTCCTGAAGAACGGTCCGGAGCGCAGGCGGAGTGTTTAGCTAATCTGCAGGAAATGTGAATGACAGTTATCCAGAAAGTAGCTAAGGGTTACTAGAGATGTTTCTGAGGTGTTCGCTAGGTACTTTTAAGTTAAAAAGTCAAGAAGGGGGTCTGAAAAGCTGCTAGAAATAGCGTCAAAGTCGCTAAGTTGGCAACACTGTGGGAGAAGTGCTTCATTCGCAACTCAGGGCAGCGCAAGCGGGAGGAGCAAATAATCGGCTTGTTTTGTTTTTTATAATCGTTCAAAACTCAGATCGTAATCGTGATTAAAATTCGATTAATTGAGCAGCCCTAGCCAGCAGCTCAATAGTGCGCACAAGGCGAAAAAGCAATTTGGAGTCCCTGAAAAGCACAAATTTGCACTGAAGCACTGAGTTGGTTATTGTTATAAATTGTCATGATATAATTAAACTGAGTTGAATCATCTACTCTAATTTGCCTTGTATTTTTAGATCCATGGCCTCCTTAAACATTTAGACCAATGTGTTTCCCTCCTCAAGGTTATTTTTTGGAGTTCCAAGAGCCGATCAACAACATCACTCACTACCAGGGCCAGGTGGCCACGATGCACTGCAAAGTGGTAGGAAACCCTCGACCGTCAATTCGTTGGTTGAAGAACGATGCTCCTGTGGTTCAGGAGCAGGGACGCATAAGCATCCGAAAGACCGAGACAGGATCCAAGCTCCGCATCCAAGATCTAGATACGACAGACACTGGCTATTACCAATGCGTGGCTTCCAACTCGTTGAAGGTCATCTCTGCCACAGGTGTGCTTTACGTCAAACTAGGTAAGGTTTGCATCTCTAACTTTAATCATATTACTCACACATTTAATAAGCATTTATTTCTCATTATGTGAGATGCTTTTTTGTGATCAGTAGCTTTGACAAATGATTTTTTTCATGTTCTAATGTATGACCCATTTTTTTTTCGCATTACGAGAATTGTCAGACCAAAAGTATGATTCCCAAGCCATTTTATTTCTATGAACCACACAATAACAGTTTGGCACCCGCTGTCGACACTACTTTTGGTCTGTAATCCCTCTTGTACAGTAAATGCTGTAAATCTGCTCCATTGTATGCGTGTCTATAACATTAAGTTTTATGCTTTTAATGTCTAATGTATGTTTATTATCTATCTTGTGTTTTGGATTCACAGCCCAGATTCCCACACACAAACCAGTTGAACCGTAAGTGAAGAATATCTGCATTTTCTTCATCAGTGTTCTTCAAGAAAATTATTAAAATTAGCAAGATTTAATTGTTATTTCTTAAAATGTGTGAGGATGCAGGTCTCATCATTATGTTGTGTATGTTGATTTGGACTTTGTGCCTTGGCTTAATTTGGGCCCGAGATCAAACTCAAGCTTTGTAAAGCTAAGATGTATGACTAAAATCATTGATGTTTGAAGCTTCTGCTGCCTTTTTCCAAAGAGGTTTTCATCCTGGAATCAAATTTCATGCGGCAAAGAAAAAATTCTGCTTTTTACAATGTTCCATGTCACTTTTCTCTTAATCTGTTGCACATATACTAATATTTACACATCTCAAAAAAATGTCACTAGTTTCATATAAAAGGAGACCAAAAGTAACCAAATAGACCTTGTGGTTACAGAAATATACTCATTAAAGTGTCAGCATGTAATTTTTGCGAAGCTTTCTCAAAAAAAAAAAAAAACAAAAAAAAAAAAAGCAGCGGGCCCCAACTGATAAGTGCCATAACTTGAAATGAGTAGAAAGTCAGTTACCTGATCTCAACATTTACTGAAGTTTCCTACTTTGTTTGGAGACAAGAATAATTGTGCTGCAGGGATAGAAATAAATTATGGGGCTTTCACATCTGGGTTGGCACGGCTCAGCCCTGGTAGGTTAATTGTGTTCACATCTGGGAAATCTATGCGTTTACCATGCTCAGCTGACCTTTCATTTATTTTTCCCGGCCTGCTTTCTGGCGGTCATTTTCATGCAAAGCCAACCTAACCCACTACCAACTGATTGACTGGCTATAGTTCATGGCTACTGGGGCGGAACGATTTTAGGAAAAGATTGAATCGTCAACTAAAGTGCAGCTTTATATATATACTGTTGGCTTTTGGCTGTCCAACTGGAGTACAGTTTCAGACACGAGGAAGCAGCAGTAAAAGTGCAACAGGGAGTTTTCATCCTCTGAAGAGCAGCATGTCTGAAGTGTGACTGTAATTTAGATGCCAATTTGAACAGAACTGCTGAGGAAAATCTTGTTAAAAAGTTGATTCTTTGTCTGCACAACATGCAGATAGTATCATCTGTTATTGTTTACCGACTACTGCTTATAGCAGGGGTGGGGAACCCTGGTCCATCGAGGGCCGCTATCCAGCATATTTTAGTTTCAACCCTGCATCATCCCACCTGATTTCAATCAGCAGGTGATTGACAAGCTTCTGCAGAGCCTGAAATGCTGCAGAGCATGTGAATCAACCACTGAATCAGAAGGGTTGGAGCAAAGACATGCAGGATACTGGCCCTCGAGGACCAGGGTTCCCCACTCCTGGCTTATAGGAACAGATTCAAAGTTAACTTTAGCTTTATGTCATCTGAATAGTTGTCTTTATCTTTTTACCTTAGCACTAGCTTTCCAAGAGGAGGGTTATGAACACAAATAATGAAGATGAACTTGGTTTGAACTAGGGCTGCACAATATATCGAAAAATTATCGTCATCTCGATAACAGGACGTGCGACAGGCCCATCGCAAAACACGGCAAAAACAGCGATAAATGTTTGGTTCAAACATTTCCATCCGTGTCATACATCAGCTTTTTGCAAACCAGCTCTGTTTTTTACGCGGAAGTATTATTTGACCAATCAAATGTAGTCCTTCTGATATGCGGCCAATCCGATGGGTCCGTTCACGTAATACGCCCGCCCCCTACATAGACCCTTTTGGAAAGCAACAACCGAACAGAGTTTGCGGCGCTGTTCCCTTGTTCGTCATGCTGGCTCAGAGCAACGAACGCACTTTGTGCTGATGTTTCTGGAATCAGCGCTGCTTTCAAACGTGAACGTGACTCCGCTCGGTGTCTTTAATCATTTTTATCGGGCTGACTCCGACACGTGCCGGTGAACCAATCCACCTTCATTTCGCTAGTGTTAGCCCCAGGCTCCGGTTAGCTTCCAGCTAAAAGGCTACAGCACTCTCCTCCCAGTCCCACCCTGCTGAAGAGGACCTGGAAAAGTTCCCCCACACATCAAAGTGATTTTTCATTTATGAGCTTTTATAACCTTGCTATTCAGGATAGTTGATTTGCTGCTGCACATAAACTGTCAGTCAGAAGCTCTGCTAGCCGGTTATCTTAGAGCAGCTAGTTCAATTTGTTAGCTTGTTATCAGAATCATAGTTGCAGTTTCATCATCTGAGCTGCTTTTTAAGATCTAGGTAAACTTGTTCAATTTGGGGTTAAAAACAAACGTTTTCACATATTTTCCATGTAGTTTTTTTGCCAGTTCCTCTTCTGAAAGGTAGACAATTGTTTTTCCCTTTCCCTCAGAAAATCTTAATATTCTCCTAGTTTGGCCCAGCTCAGATCTCTTCCCAATTACAGCAACAGCCTTCTATCATAACCACATAAGTGGAGAAAATGTTCAGTAGCAATGAGAGAATTTGGTGTTGCATTTAAGTGATGTTAACTATTATTTAACATTTAAACTTATTTTCTGGTATTTTTATTTATTCAAAAAACCCTGGTAAGGGATGTTTTTCTGTATTTGGAGCATCAGAAAAAGTTTAATGGCGGAGGTGATGTTTTAAAGTCACAGAGAAACTGCATGCATGCAGTTTGTTGTTTTGCTGCTAATACAGTAGCAGGTGCAGCTGCATATTTTTGCAATAAAAATGTTATGTTGTAATGGAATTCATGCATTAATTTTTGTTTGCTTTGAACCCAGAGCAGACGTCACACGCCAGACAACATCAACACGGCATACTTTAGTATTTGTTCATTTATCGCGAGTAATATCAATATTGCAATATTAAGCACTGTTATCGAATGTTGCAGGTTTTCCTAATATCGTGCAGGCCTAGTTTGAACTGATCCGATTCACCATCCTTATTCTCCTAAGTGTTGATTAGGGCTGAGGAAATGAGACACAACTTCCTCCTAGTCTTTCACAGTTCTAACCCTGGACTCATTAGAGTTTATGTTGTAGACCATAGTTAGCTGGTTACACATTTACAACTTAAAATACAGCAGGTATTGAGCTTCTTGTTAAAGTCTTAAAATGATGGAAATCATATCAACCTCTGCACAGATAGACATATAAAGTTATCATCACTTTCTCCCCGAGTTAAAACTGTGTGGATGTCCACTGCTGGAAAATGTTTCGAATAAAGTAGCTCTTCGAATTCATAGCATGCAGATGTTTTTGGTTTCTTGTCTTGGTTTGTTTGTTTATTTTCTCTGCTCCTTTGTAACACCTGGTCCAGGTTTTTGTTTGTCAGCATTTATTCATTAGTTCTCTTGGCATAAGTCAGCACTGCTTCATTTATTCATGACCAGATTGCCTGTTGTGAATGAATACAAATGAAAGCTAGCAATTTTGTAGAGTTTACATCTCACAAGTAAGAGAACATGGTGCAGACAGAACAGACATTATAAATCACTGTGGTGCTTGTTGATGACTGAATTCATGCTGATTACACTTTTGAATCTATAAACCAGAAGTACTGATAAGATGTTGAATCCTACAGTCAAAGTAGTTAGGTGTGTGTGTGTCTAACTCACAGCTAAACTTTATACTGTTGACTGAAAAATTGAGATGTTAATTTATTCTCTGCTAATTTTCCACACATAAAGACCAGCGATGGGAAACACTGTTTTAACCAATAAAATGTTCTTTAAGACTGATATTTTAATGGTATGACAGACAGCAGACAGTGGCTTTTCACTGCCTTTTTGAATTTATTGTCCCTGAGCTGTAGTTTTATTCATGTTTTTAGATCAAGTACTAAAGGTTTCTGTCAGCCGTACCGAGGCATCGCCTGTGCTAGATTCATTGGTAACCAGAGTATCTACGTTGAGTCTTTGCAGACGCAAGGCGATAGTGAAAATCGAATCACAGGTGAGAATAAATGCGTAGCTGTTCATCTATCTGCCTAAAGACAGACTTGTGTAAAATTTTATTTTCTGAAAACATCTTGAATTACACGGGCACTTTTAAAATGTTACATATCTTTTTGTTTTAAAGCTGCTTTCACCATGATTGGCACCTCGACCCACTTATCGGATCACTGCTCCAAGTTTGCAATCCCATCTTTCTGTTACTACGTTTTCCCGCTGTGTGAAAAGGGCCCCAGGGGCCCTCGGCGGCGTCGGCTCTGTCAAGATGAATGTGAGGCCCTGGAGAACAACATTTGCTATGCAGAGTACACCATTGCTCGATCCAATCCCATGATCCTCATGCAGCTCGAGCTCCCCAACTGCAACTCACTGCCAAAGAAGGAAACACCAGAGGCTGTTTCCTGTATAAGGCTCGGAATACCACCAGATAAGCTGGGTCCACGTAAGACACTTGGATCTCCACACTCATAATAACCTGCAAACATAAATAACTGTAAACATCAACAGCATTCTGTCTTTTAGATTTTTTCCAAAATTTCATACTTTCTCTTTATTATTGGTTGTGTAAACAATACCACTCATTGGTCAAAGCTGAAAATGGACTGTAAAGGTACATACGGCTTTACAGGATGTCATAAACACATGCTAATTTTCATTTTTATGGACTTCTAAAGCCCACGCCTCCAGGCTTAAAATTTTCAGTTTGAAGTTTCTGCATGAGTGCTTTTTGGATTCTTTGTGGGTCCAGCTGAGGTTGTTTTTGGATGGGATAAATGCTATCTAGAAGTAGACTCACGGGGCACTCTCTTCTAAAACAATCAACATGTTTTCTTATGTATCATGTAGACCAGTTAATACTCCTGACACGTTTCAACCTTTCTCGTGGAGTCCAATTATCATGTTCCTTTTAAGGTGACACAGTTATCAGTACTCCTGTACAATCACTGATGCTGGTGATTATATATTTAGAAGGACTGGATAATCTGTTCTACCCCTTGGAACATTTTACTGGTCTTCATCAGTACGCCATGAAAACAAAAGCATTTCAGTCATTTCAGAAGAGAGTGACTTAGAGGATTTTTAATGTTCTATTAATTTTATCATATTCATTGTTCCACTGCGTCAGTCATGTTGTGCTGTAATGGTGCGTTCGATTTGTCCTCGGAACTTGGAAATTCCAACTTCCAAGTAGGACAATTAAAATGAAACGCCCCTTCAAAGTCGGACCCCCGAGTCAAAAATTTGGAAGAATTTCAGAACTCTGACCTCGACATCCAAAATGGCAGCTCGCTGTATCAACAACAGTAACTTTTGGGTGAAATGTGTTTATTTTACAAAACACACTTATAAGAGTGCGTTTAAAACCAGTGTTGCATGTAGTGCTTGAAACTCTTAAGCTGAACACACTAAAAGCTTTGTTTGTAGATTCATCTTAACAGTTTTAAGTTGTACGTTCAACATGCAAATAATGGTTACTTGGGAGGTGTGCGTCGCCAAATTGGAATCCTGACTTCTCCAACTACGGTAACCAGAACACGGTTAACTCGGGTGTGATGCCATTCCCAGTTCCGTCTTCCGAGGTAAATCAGACACACCATAAGTAACTGATTGGTGGGTCTTTTTCTCAAATTTAAGTCCAGTGGACTCGGGCAACATCTCTTGTTGCAAGCTGATGATAATTGACTTGAATGCTCTGAGTGTTTTTCACAGAGTTACAGACTAAACCTGTGTTCTCTGTAGATTCTCCATCGGAACATAGCTGCTACAATGGAAGTGGGGCAGACTACAGAGGAACAGTCGCTGTCACTAAATCTGGTCATCATTGTCAGCAGTGGAGCGCCCAGTTTCCTCATAGTCACCACCTGACCCAGGAATACCCCGAGCTCTGGGGGAGTCACAACTTCTGTCGTAACCCAGGAGGCCACATGGAGGCGCCGTGGTGTTTCACTCTGGACCCTAAAGTCCAGATGGACCTTTGTGACATTCAGCCCTGCAGTAAGCAACTTAACACAATAACTGTTGTTATAACTCCTGTCATTGTTGACATCATCCAAAAGGACACTCTTGAAACGGCTAAACGATGGTGAGCAAAGTGCACAAGTGTAGTTATCCCTTCTTCATGCAATGTTGCTACTCTAAAGTACAATTAATACACACAATAACTACTCATGCAGTGTTACACAAATATCCACGACATGGACTGACAAACATATTTAACCCTCCCACTGTCTTTATGGGTGACCCCGTGAGGAAAGTTGACCTTTGAGCAGGATTGAAGGTTTATCCCTTGAGATCCACGTGGCAGGGGTGAGGAGGTGCTCACTCCTCACCCCTGCCACATGAACCTAAGGGATAAACAGTCAACCCTGCTCAAAGGTCAACTTTCCTTGCGGGGTCACACCCATTAGGACAGTGGGAGGGATAATAATAGTTTATGTCCGTAAATATTTACTTTACAAATATTGGATTCTTACTTTATTTGTGTCGAGCTTTTTTTCACCTTTTTAAAATGCATTTAACCAGTTTAGGCATAAACGAGAGCTGACCAGAACCCTGTATAACTACATAAAGGGACCCAGAGCCAATACAAATGTTAATTCTGTATTATTCTCCCTCTTGATTTGATTAGCTTCGTAATCCACTTAAAGTTTAACAATCCAAAGCGTTGTCAAACACATGACACGATGCAATGTGATCATCATGAAGACATTTACTTATGGTGCATCTAAAAACCTGAACATTGAGCAAGATGACAAACAGGGTACTGGTGTATAGAACAAATCAGTGTTCTACACAAACATATTTACAGGCTGACAGGTTTATGAACACAAAAATAACTATTAATTAGATTTTACTTTGAACAAAAATGGGGGTGTTTTCATCAAATCGTGAGGAAAAACTGAAAACCTGTTTATTAAAATTCTGGAGTGATAGAATAGATGCAATAAAATAATAAAAGTGTAAAATATACTATAAATGAAATGCAAAATGAAGATGCATTTTAATGAATTTTACCATTCCTTAAGTAGCCTTGGTTTATGCTGGCAGAACCAGAAGCTGCTCTTCTCCATTGTGACAAATGAACAAATAACACAAGCAGTCAGTTTTATGACAAGCTACAACTTGGATTACACATGTGTTCCTCTCTGAGTTTCTCAGGAAAGTATTCATCAGATTTCTCTGCCAGTTGAAGTGCTGAGAGACGGAGTCTCTGATCTTCACCTGGGGGAGTTTTCTAAAACATCAGAAACACATCCAGCCTCTTTTCTTCAGGACTCTGAGTCCACAAAACAAGTTTCCTCCTGAAGGCTTCAGCTTTGACTGCAACAATATGTGGTTATTTTTCTTTGAAGTGAGATGTTCAGCAGTGAAAAATGTCTTAGAGGTGTAAGAGTCTAGCTGTGAACTTAGTGTTTGCACAGTAACGTGCAAACAGCTTTTTCCTCTGTGGGAAAAGAGAAGACACCAGTCTTCAGTTCAAACATACATTTGAGGACTTCCATTTGACTGTAGTGTGACGTGAGCAGCTGGACATGATTTGCTTCAGTGTCCTCTTAAAGTCTGGCAAAACACTTGGAATTCACAGCACTATGGTGCTGACGATTTTCATACCTGCATTCATGACCGTGTGGAGCTCCATTTTGTGGCTAGAGTCACTGTGGAGAAAACGGTGTCCATCTGGTTCTGGTGATGATATCTGCCAGATGTCTCTTGTAACTCCTGCCAGTCATTGACATGGTACCATCACTGCACCCCCGAACACAGGCCTGCCTGTCTTAAATAATTTCTCAGTGAAGTTGTTGTTAATGCAGCTATTACCATCGTTTACCAGCAGACTTCAGATGATCTGTCTTAAGAATGTTATTTTTCGGTACCTTGTTACTCATTAGGATTAGTGGTTTGAGTTTGGAAAATAACTGAAATTAATTTAATTTGCAACATTTTTTAATGTTTTTCCTTTATTTAACCAGGTGAAAACTCATTAGCCGCTTTTATGTAAAAAAAAATGCCACCGATTTGCTGCAAAGCTGAGCCAGTATCTGGTTAGCCTTAGGTTGTTTATAAGTGGTCACACCATAGCGGTAATGTGGCGTAATCATGTCCTTTTTGCAAAAGATTGGGTGATTAAGGGGGTATAAGGGCGGTCACTGCACTGTCACAGACTTCCCTTTAGCTTGTACATAACATGATTTTTACTGCGATTGAAATTGCGTGCCTTAAGACATTTTTTTTGCCAAGCCATTCCTAAAGGTGTCTGTCCTCCACAGTCCCGGAAAAACGGTCTGGTGATCTGAGGTCCAGCTCTAACATAGCCCGGAGCCCGGCATCGCTACAGTCTTTACTTTTATTTTCAAAGTTGCCAGCAGGAGCTCGGCAGACATTCCGCATGTGATCGTGACACCACCCTCTGTTGTGCCAAGGCGTGATCTTTGGTCACAAATCCGGCATTGCGATGATATTTGTACCAAGCGGGGCGGCGTGCCGCCAAATTCCCGCATCTCCATGCCGCCACAGCGCTTTCATAAGACAAACCATGGCGGCAGTATTACGCGGATTTATCGGCACGGTGTGTCTTATAAAAACAGCTATTGAGATATCAAGTCCCATTTCCAAGAGTCACCTGGTCCACAAAGGCAGCACAAGAACAAAACGGAGAACCAACATAAGTCACACGTCACGACAAAAGCACAGAGACAAAGAAAACAACATAAAACAAATATTTAAACATGAGAGGGTCAGAGGATTCAGCGTGTAATGTAGTTTAGATTTGCTCAGACATTTTCTCCACCTCTTTAAAAGTAATTTAAATTGACCTAAAGGGATCAGATTTGTAATCTTTAATTCTATCTGAAGGTTATTTTTAAGGGATGCTCAATAAATCAGTCTACCGTTAATATTGGCACTAAAATGTAATATCGGAAAATATCTGTTTTCATTCTTTTAATGACCCAACTTTTACATATCACTCACGCATATTATACATCAAACTCTTCAGCAACTTCTCCTCTACCTCAAAAGGGAGCACATAGCTAGACAGCCAGCATAGCCTTCACATCTGGGCCAGCACGGACCGGACTGGGTGTTCTTTAAAGTGTTCATATCTAGGGAGCCTTGTATTTTTCCATTCTCAACCAGTCAGTTTTTCGGCCCACGTACCAAGGAGGTCTGCATCAGGCTCAACAGGTCCAACCCACTACCAACCGACTGTCCGTCTCAAATACACACCTACCGTTAGAGGGAGCCTCCGATTGGCGGATAGAAACAAGCAGCGAGAGCTTCTCACATGGTCATTCTGGATACTGAGAAGTCAACGTTGCCTCTGACTGAAGCTGCATCCCTCCTTACTGCTGTGAGGGAAGCGCGCGCGCGCGCACACACACACAAACACACACACACAGAAACAGCAGCTCTCTGTGTCTCCTTCTCACTGCCGTGAGGAGCCCACACACCCACAGAGCCAGCGCTGCCTGCATTGATCTGCACAGCCGTCATTTAAGGGAGGCACCAGACTTTTCCGCACACCTTTTGCCCCACCCACATGCTCGGAGATTTCCCTGTTCCTGAGAAGTGTGTGAACAAAACCTACAGGTGTAGGACCCAGACCAATGCCACTCAGTCTGGTCTGTGCCGGCCCAGATGTGAAAGTGGCTTATCAGTATTGGTTTATATCCATATCAGAAATTAAGAGTCAGAAAATATCTGTATATTGGTATAAAAACGCCAGTATCGAGCATCCCGGTTATTTATTTACTTTTATTTTCATCACCTTTTTATATGGGTAACACTTTTCCCTATATTCTTCTTTCTACAGTGCCTCCAGAAAACCCAAGGAAGGAGATCCTGTTTATTTTGATCCCTGCCGTGTCCATCCCACTTGTTATTGCCTGCCTCTTTTTTCTGGTTTGCAAGTGTCGAAATAAACATAAGGCCTCTTCTGGGACGCCGCCTCGTGGCCAAAGCACCCTCTCCCCCAGCCAGGACTTGGAGCTGTCTCTTCTCAATCAGAACAAACATCAGGTAGTACATTATACAAAAACATGTAAAGATCCATTTGCATTCTGACATTTAGGATGTCCTCAGAACACACACAACATCATTTTACAGGATTCTGAATAATTTAACACAAGTAGAGAGAATCTAAAAAATCTTCCAGAAAATGACATCTTTTGCACCTGAAAATCAAACAATTTAAAATAAAACCCTTAAGTTGTGCAGAGCCATACTGTATGTTGCCATTTGCTATCTTGGTTTAGTTTGATGGTGTTTTGCTGTAATCAGAAGTTTAAAACCTCTGATCACGGGCATGCATTTCATGCTAAATTTGGTCTGATTATCATACAGCTTTTAAAAATATGAATTGTGTGTAAAAGTTTGAATTGTAGCTTTTCCCCTCTCCACACAGGCTCACATGTAAACATACACCCTCTCTCACATATGGTTACATTTCTTTTAGCAAGTTTTGTCTCAACTGCAAGCTTTTTGCTGCAATAATCAAGCTTCTGTTATAATTGAACAGATATTTGACTCTTATTGGCATAATAGTTAAGGTGCATTTTAATTGGTCGGTTTTTTGACCAAGAGTTTAATCATATTTGATAGGTGTTCACTTGGATAGGGTTGGGAGTTTAGGAAAAGCAGCCATTGCCTCAGTGGTAGCCTGCTTTATCCAGTTAAAAAGTGTGTTCAAGTCCAATTTTGTGGAAGTTGTCATTGTTATTTATTTTGTGCACTGCGACTGTCCCACGCTATGATGCTACCACCATTCTTCACTATTATCTGCTGGTTTTGTAAGTTTCACTGCTAAAAAGAAATGGTCACACTTAGGCTTATTTGAGAGACAAAAAAATGACCAAAACATCCAGTAAAATACTTTTTTTTTTCCCAAAGTTATAAATTATTTTAATATTGTATGAATGAAATAAGTATTGGATCCACTAGTTCCACTCCTCCTTGCAGATCCTCTTCAAGTCATTAATATTTGGTGCCCAATGTTTGGCAACTTTGTTTTCTTTATAGGATTATGGTTTGGAGACAGACCAGGCCACTCCAAGAAGACCTTTATATGCTTCTTCTTGAGCCAGTCCTTAGTTGCCTTGGATGTGTGTTTTGAAACATTGTCATGCTGAAAAATCAACCCATCCATCCAGTTTCGGCTACTTATGCTGAGGCTCCAGGTCACGGAGCCAGTAGCCTAAGCAGGGAGGCCCTGTCTACCCTCTCCCCAGCAACTTAGGCAAGCTCCTCTCGGGAATCCTAAGGCACTCCCTGGCCAGCCAAGAGACATAGTCCCTCCAGCTTGTCCTGGGTATTCCTTTAGGTCTTTTCTCAGCTGAACGTGCCCGGAAAACCTCACCAGGGAGGCGTCCAGGACGCATCCTATCTAGATGTCCGAGCCACTTCAACTGGCTCCTCTCAATGTGGAGGAGCAGCGGGTCAACTCCAAGCCCCTCCCGGATAGCCAAGCTTCTCACCCTGACTCTAAGGGAGAGCCCAGACACCCTGCAGAGAAAACTTGCTTGTATTCGTGATCCCATTCTTTCTGTCCCTATGCAAAGCTTGTAACTATACAGTGCTCAGCATAAATGAGTACACCCCCTTTCAAAAGTATTAATTTAGTCAGTTTGATGAACAAAAGAACAATTTCCAGAATTTTCACAAGGCTGGGTTTAATTAAACCATTGTTTAGCTCCATAACATGATATTAGAGTTAATAATATAACTAAAGCCTGATTTATACTCCTCGCATCAGCTTCACAAGGGAGAGACCCGCACAGAGTGTTGGAAAGGTTTTCATATGCAAACTTCTGCGCAGGCAGAGTGTAGCTAACAGTTCCCCACCAGGACAACAGAGGGCGTAGCACATTTCTGTGGTATCCTGCCACCATAACACTTATGTATGCAGTCCACGATAGTGTATTTACTGATGTGTTTATATACTTCAAAGACTTTATAACACGGACAAATTTGTCCTTCATTCTTCTCCACCTCTTGTGCGGTCCCCACCTCTAAACCCACGTTTCCCATCATTTCCATCCATGTTTGCTCCGTATTTTGTACTCCTTCGGCACAGGTGAATAAACGTTCATATTTTCTGACCTTTTTAGCGATGCGTTCATTAATCTATTCTGGGTCTGCTGCAAAATATCTTTTTACCTTTTTTACGGGGTAATGTCGGTGCTCGTGACAAGTTTACAGGAAGCTGCGTCCTGACCAGTCACAAGCTTGCCGTCTCCGTCACTTTCGGCGGATGTTTAAAATATTTGGCATGTCTCTGTCACCCTGTGAGCCTGTCAGAGAGCTCTTGCAGTTTGTCTTTTTATTACTTTAGCTAACTACAGAGAACTTGCATGGCGATTTTCTTTTACCCTTCTCATCAGAAGACACTACTGTTGAAATGTTAACTTCCGTGGACGACCTGGACATTTCTGTAAGATGGTTGCACTTCCATCTTTCTTAAATTTTTGGATCACTTTTGCTACAGTATTTTGACTGATATGTAAGATTTTGCTGATCTTCTTGTAGCCCTCACCTTTTTGTGTAAAGAAATTACTTCCTTTCTCTGATTTTGTGACATTTCTTTTCCATGTGGAGCCATTGCTCCTTTCCAGCTCAGCTCTCTTCACCACGACAGATCGGTACAATGCCCTCATCACTGCAGACGCAGCACCAATCTCAGTTGATCTCACGCTCCAGCTTTCCCTCACTCATGAACAAGACCCCGAGATACTTAAACTTCTCCACTTAAAGCAGGACCTCATCGGAGAAGGTTTTCTACCCTTTTCTGACTCAAGACCATGGTCTTGGTTTTAGAGAAGCTGATTCTTATCCCAACCAACCCATGCCTCATTTTCAGTGCCCTGGATGAGGGAAGCAGGTTCTCACCCAATGTTTGATGGTACATGCTCCCATCCATCCAGTTATACTGCCCCTTGGCAGGTATACACACTGAAAGCACAATGTTTCCATCACCATCTTGATGGTGAGATAATGCATATAGTTATAGGCAGCAATTCTCCCAAACACGGCAACCTGAGCTGATCCCAAAGAGTTCGATTTTGGTCTTATCTGACCTCAACACTTTCATGCACTCCTCTGAATACTCTGAGTGATCAGCTGTTGTCACTTTCTCACCTTGCTGCTTGGCAATAATCTTGTAGCTATTTCCAGCCTTGTGTAGGTCCACAAACTTGTACCTGACTTCTTTCGAAAGCTCTTTTGTCATGGCCATGGTGCAGAGTTTAGAATCTGGATAGATTGATTGCTTCTGTGGTCAGGTGTCCTATATGAGAAAGCTCTCATTGTCCGCTTGTTACCTGTATCAATTTCACATAGGAGTCAGAAATCTTACTGATTGATAGGGAGTCAAATAATTTCCTTTATGCAAATTCAAATTAATTTATTACTCTTTTGGACTATTTTGGTTATTTTTTGATTATTGCTCTGTTTGAAATATCCTACCATTGAAATTATAAAGTGAGCATTTCTTTGTAGGCAAACTTACTAAATCAACAGGGGTTCTAATAACCTTGTCCTTGACTTTATGTATGCTGTATGATTAGTGAATATAAACGGTATTCACGGTATGTTTAGATATATTGACTTTACAAAAAATATGTCACACTTGGTGAAACTTTTAGCAGTTTTCTTTAATCAATTAGTTAAAATAAAACAAATTCAATTCGATGCAACTCCTATCACATTATCTTATGGCGGTAATACATTTTGATGAAATGTATTTATTCCCATATAGTTGCAGACCAAGCTCCGGGAGATCACCATGTCATCACTTCAGTTTATGGAAGGTCTTGGCGAAGACCGATATGGAACGGTGTACAAAGGGCACTTTTATGGAACAGCGCCTGGTGAACAGACTCAAGTGGTAGCCATTAAAACATTAAAAGACAAGGCTGATGCAATTCTATTCGAGGAGTTTCGCCAGGAAGCTATGGTCCGCTTTCATCTGCAGCATCAAAATATTGTTGGTTTGATTGGTGTGGTCACCAAAGAGCAGCCAATGAGCATGGTATTCACCTATTCCAGTCTTGGTGACCTGCATGAGTATCTGGTGATGCACTCCCCTAACTCGGATGTGGGCAGTTCAGATGATGGAAAGACCTTCAAATCTACATTGGAACAGCCTGATTTCTTCTATATAATAACTCAGATTGCTGCTGGAATGGAGTACCTTTCTAGCAACCAAGTTGTCCACAAAGACTTAGCAGCCCGGAACATTTTGGTCTTTGACAAGCTGACTGTTAAGATCCTAGACCTGGGCCTGTTCAGAGATGTATACTCGGCTGATTACCACAATCTGATAGGAACAAGCCCTTTTCCAATTCGTTGGATGTCTCCAGAGGCCATTATGTATGGGAAATTCTCCACTGACTCTGACATCTGGTCGTATGGTGTGTTGCTCTGGGAAACATTCAGCTATGGTCTTCAGCCTTATTGTGGCTATTCCAACCAGGATGTGATTGAGATGGTGCAGAGACACCAGTTACTGGCTTGTCCAGATGACTGCCCGACCTGGATTTACACACTCATGCTAGACTGCTGGAGTGAGCTGCCAGCAAGAAGGCCTCGCTTCAAAGATATCCACTCACGTCTGCGCTCCTGGGACAGCTTGTCCAACTGTAACAGCCCTGTCCAGACATCCGTGACCAGCAGCACTACCCAGACCAGTTCTCTCAGTACCAGCTATGTTAGCATGAGCACAGCAAATACATCACGTTATTCGAGCCCCAAAAAAAGCTCACTGGTCAATCAACCCCAGTTTATGCCAGTTAAGGGTCAAATGCATCGGTCGGTAATGTCACCGCCACTTTTCATTCCCATCAATGGATACCATCCCATGCCAGCTTATCCATACCTGCAGAACTTTTACCCCATGCAGATGCCTGTGGCAATGCCCCAGCAACAGTTACACCACCCCCCACCGGTTGTTAATAAAGTTGGCTCACACCATAGTGGCAGTGGCTCCACGTCTACAGGTCATGTTTCCAGTTCCTTTTGCAACACCTCTGTCACAGAGCAAGCTGCTTTCCTAATTAAAGACCACTCACACAATGATGAAGACTTGGCAGACAGGACGTCCCAGGGAGAGCCTGTCCCAGCTCAGGGCTTTCAAATGCCTGAGACAGAACTTCTAGGGGACATTGAGACTCTTCAGACTGACGAAAAGATGACCAAGTTATCGGACACATGAATGTAGTGCTCTTTGAAGAACAGTAGAGCTCAACTTTTATGTACATAAAATATCAATTGGCTTGAAAAAGTAACGGTATAGTACAAAGGTGAGTCGTTGTTTTTCATTTTATAGCAGGACCAATCACCTAAATATGAAGTGTGTAATTTTATACCTTTTATATCTCAGTCTTCATAGATGAGCAGCAATATTATTTTCTGAAGCTATTTTTAAGTTAACATTCATTTCACTGCAGAGACCACCCTACCATTATTGACTTTTTCTCGTGTAATTGTGTTATTAGCTGGAAATTGTCCACTGTTCACTGATAAACTGTAAGCATGGACTCCTTAAAGCCAGCACTCGTACTTTCCTATTCTTTAAAGCAACTCAGCCAGCAAAATGCTCTTTCAAACTGATATGTTTGTAATAGATGTTGACTATTGTGTTTTATGTCTTTGATTCATTTTTAGCATGTCATTGAAGCATTTTGCTTGATTATTATGTAAAAGCTGCAATAACAGACTTGCAAGTGCATTTTTGATAGAAGTATTGTAGAGCTTTGTAAATGATCCACAACATACTGTGTTACAATCTATTAAATTTTGAACAATTTTAAACGAATGGTTGCACAATCTTTTTAGGGTAAGAGGCTATGGTGGCTCATACAGTTCAATGAAACACGAAAGCTAAAACACAATGAAATAGACCAGGTACAAGGGGATTTTGCCAAGATTAGAAACATCCTGTCCAGAAGTGATGCTGAAAAGCTAGTTCATGCTTTGTTTACTTCAAGACTCGATTATTGTAATATTTTATGACCAGGAAGTCCACCGAATGTAGTTAAGTCTTCCGCTAATCCAAAAGATTGCAGCTAGAGTTCTGATCAGAAGATCCTCCTCACATTTAAAGCTTTTAATAATTAAGCTCCACGTTACATCACCCCGGGTTTCCACGGGAGCCGTCAGCAGCACGTTACTGCAGCAGCACGTCTAGCTGCTGCTTGGCCCTTCCCACGAGACGCGACGCAGCAGAGGAGCAGCTGTCACCGACAGGGCACGAAGTCACACGAGTGACTTCGTCAGTAAACACAACAACAAGCAGGAGAAAACTACAACATGGCTCCAAAATGTTTGTGTTTTTATATTCTGTCCGTTTTATAATCGCCAATACGGACCTGAAAAACAAAGGAGACCGCTAGCTAGGTGATAACTTCTCACGGGGACGCACAGTTAGTAACCTTTTTTAAAGTAAAGCGACCGGAAGGCAGTACGTTCTTTATTCTGAAAATCTCGGGAGCTTCTCTCCATTTCCGCGTCCGATTTCCTGTCTTTCCTTCCCCAAAAATGTCGAACTTGACCCGTTTCAGAGGCGTCGCGCGTAGGAAATAGAACCGGCGCGTAAAGGCCGCGACATGCTGCTCCTGAGACGCGGCCGACTCGCGCTGCTGACGGCTCCTGTGGAAAAGGTTCTGTTGACCACAGCCGTTCCTATCAGCAGCTATGACGTGCTGCTGCAGTAACGTGCTGCTGACGGCTGCTGTGGAAAGCCGGGGTCAGTGATCTGATTGTTCCATGTTTCTAACAGAGCAGTTTTCCAAAAAGGTTCAAATGCAGACAACTGGACTTTGGTTAAGACATTCTGCTTCTGATCCAACGAGCTTTGTCAATTCTGACTGGAATATGGGAGGGTCAAGCTTATAAACAGTAGCTGTCTATTATTGCTCAACAAGCAGAAACTCCCTCTGAGTACCCCTCCTAAGCCTCTGATTGGTCATTAGCCTCCATTGCAAAGCTCTCGGATGAGAAGCGAAAGGTCTACAAGAAACCAAAGTAGTGCGGTTGCCTGCATTTGAACCTCTTTGGATTACCATGACCTGGATGACTGAGAACCTTCACCAGCAACAGAGCACTTTGCTCTCAGACTGCAGGTTTACTGGTGGCTCCTAGAATATCCAAAAATAGGATGGGAGGTAGATCTTTCAGCTATCAGGCTCCTCTCTTGTGGAACCAGCTGGTCTGTGAGTCAGACACCTTGTCTACTTTTAAGACTAGGCTTAAAATGTTTTTGTTTGATTGGGCCTATGGTTAAAGTCTAACCCTAAGCCGGATCTGGACAAGTGGGGGAGTAGAGGGAGGTGGAGAATACAGTCATTAAAGACGGCTCTTCCTTGCCCTGCCTCCAACATGCTTCCATTTAAAAGGCTAGGTTATCCAGAGTTATCTCTGTAGTTATGCTGCTGTAGGCTTAGACTGCTGGAGGACATAATGACCACTTTCCACACAATGCTACTTTCTTCTACCATTTACTCTCTATTTGCATTATTTCTTGTTATTTCAGCAATTGACTTTATGTTTTTTAAGTGTTTTTCTCTCCAGGGAAGCTACAGTGGTGTTCTGCTGAGCTGTGATGGCCTCCTGAAGGGGGCATCAGCTGCCACATTGCTGCCAACCACTAAACATTCTCCCTCCCCTGATAACTTTTTACTTTCTCAGACTGAAAATACTGCTACTATAGTTCATGATATAATTTTTTTGACTCTTTCTTCTCAAACCCCCAGTCAGTTGTGTCAGATGGCTGGTTGTACTGAGCCAGGTTCTGCTGGAGGTTTATTCCTGTTAATGGGGAGTTTTCCTCATTCCTGTACTCATTACATGCATGCTTAGTATGAGGGTGGCTGTAAAATCACCACACAAGTCATCGACTCCATGTAATCTGCTGGGTGTCCTTAGAAAGGAAACTTAACCAGGGCTGCCAACTCTCATGCGATGAGGTTGAGGCATGCTTTGGACTTCCTTCACAAACTCTCATGCCTAAAAAAAGTTTGTCTTTGCTTCACATTGCATCATGCTACAGTACATATTCCTCTAGCTACAGTCCAGCTACAGTTCAGTTTTAAATTGGCCTTATATATGAGCAAGAAGGGGAATTGATGCCCTCCAGTGAAGAAAAGCAAGAACTAACCTCTGGTTCTGTTTATTCTTTTAGAGAACATTTTACCCTACTTATCTCAATGAAGCTAGAAAAAATCCTTAAGTTTTTTTGTCCTCTTATGAATATTAAGAAGGATGAGGAGAACAGTATCAGAAAAATATGATTGAACTAGCATCCTGGTAAAACAAAAATACTTTCAGCACAGCTCTTTCAGCACGCCCGCATCACTGCAGACGCAGCACGAATCCGCCTATCGAGCTGACTCATGCTACATCTTTTCCTCACTCAAGACACCAAAACTCCTCCACTTGAGGTAGGGCCTCATCCCTGACCTGGAGAAGGCATTTCACGCTTTTCTGATTCAATTTTTTATTTTTTTTAAGGTCCATATTTTGTTTTAAACAGGAAAAGAATGCTGAATTGCTTTTGTGTATGATATATGCTATATAAATGAAGCTGCCTTGTCTAATGCAGTTGGATTTCACAATAGATAAATTAAACCTAATTTAAATTTTTAAATACGTTTTTGTGAAAGTGGAACTGATGAGCAGTAAATGTTTGGTCACAACTGCTGATTTTATTTGATAAACTTGTTTATTCAGATAAATATTTAAATTATATGCAATATGGTAGGGGAACATTAAAAATAAGTACAATTTACTTCAGTTGTCATTTTAAAATGTTAAAATGACAACTGAAGGTAGAAGAAACACATTTCAAAATAAAGCTTCAGTAACCTTCCTATAGATTATTTATGTTGGAGCAGTTCAACACAAATATGGACAGTATTTAACTCTGAATTTAATATTAGCTAAATTAATTTTCTGTAAGAACTGGCCACATGCGCTATAAGCTTACTATTTTGATAAACAATGTGACATAACTGTTCTGCAGTGAAAATAAAAGTGATAATTGCATGAAAAACATTATTTTTCCACATTTGATCAATTTCTTTTATTTTTTGCTCATAATTAACATTGTGGGTTTTTTACGTATCAAACTGATTACAGCATCAATTTTGCCTCTGAACATTTTATTCTAATTCCACACAGAAAAAAAAATTCTAATTCCAAGACTTTACTAAAAGCTGGCAGTTCTGTTAATCTGAACAATAACATTTTTGATTTCTGACATGATACACATGTTCTCAGTGTTTTTGTTGTGCGAGTTCCCAGCTGTTCTGGATTAGATATTACATACAGTTATTTCTGTCTACTTTGCACTTCAAAATGACTGTCAACACATCTCAGAAAATACCTGCAGATGGCGCTGTGAGTTCACTAAACTCAAGTATTTGCATTTGGGTTCTCGGTAAATGGAGCATTGCACCAGTGTGTTTAACCTCCACTGAGGAATAGAAATCTTCTGACAAAAATCAGCTTGGTCAGACGTTAAAATATCTCTAATTAAAGATGTGTCATTTCAAACTTCTTTATTTATACATTTATGTGTTATTTATTTGAAGATAAGAAAAATATGTATTGAGAATGTTTTTGTGACACAGAAAGGGAAGTTTAGCAATTTAGTTTTGAGCTGATTACTCTTCACACGTAAAGGTAATTAAATATCGTAAGTAATTCAGACTCAAAATAAAGTAATAATAACTCATGCTGAGTAGCTCTTTTTCTCAGAACGCAGCAAATTAAACTGCTGGATTATGATAAATGTCTTCCTCAAGTGGTGTTTCTGTCCTATTTATCCATATTTGTCCCTGTGATGGACAGGGGTCCTGTCCAGGATGTATTATGTCTCACCTACACTCAGATGCAGAGGCGGATTTAGCAATTTGGGGGCCCAAGGCAAACACAGACATGGGGCCCCTTACACAAAATTTTCAACAATCTTACCTTCAACTGGGTTTGTGAAACTCTACTCTTCTGACACGAGTTATTTTCCCTTTTTATTAGTCCTCTTTTTCCTGTATTTCCCTTCTTTTGAGCACTTTCAATATTTGCTCTGCTTTCTTCTTCCTGTAAGTGCTCCTGTGCTTTTGCCTTTGTTATTATTTTTCTATTTTCCATTTTGGTCTATGTTTTCCTCCCTTTAAGCATTTTCCATTGTCTTTCCTTTCTGCTTCCCTTGATGTTTACATCGAGAAACAACGTCAATTTCAGAAGTGAAAATAAAAGCTTTTATGAAGCAAGCAGCTTCTTTCTCTTATTGGAGCCACTAGGATAACTCAATTTCATGCTTAATGTTTTGACTATCGCTTTGAGTTTGTTACGAACGCTCCCGCCTCTCTTCTTCTTCTTGTTTGTGGTCTTTGGCAAACAATTTGGTGCATTACCGCCACCAACTGGATTGGAGTGGAATGAGTACCAATCACTTCCTGTTTGTGCATAGCCGTCTTAATAACCCTCTTATGACCATAATTATAACAGGGCTGCCTGGTATTTTTTTTTCTTGTGGTTGTAAAATTGTAATAAAAGTGCAAAGTGTGTGTTTTCAGAACAACCTCAGCTTTCAGTGTATGGTTTGTATTTAGAATTTATTTCTATTAAAGCCTTTAAAAAATCCGCTTAAAAGTGAAAAAAGCAAAGGACTGATTTGAATTTTTTTTACATTTATTACTGAACAGGAACTTCAAAATGACTGGGCGAACAGTTTGGAATGAACAATTTAAACTTTGAACTGTAATGCATCTATTCTTAAAAAAGTGTGAACCTTGGTATCTTTTTTAGCAGTTTTTAAGACCATTTATTTTTGTAAACTTTCAGACATTTTTATTTGATGTGGTAGACCTTGAAGCAGTTTCTCTCCAGCTGCAGGCAGAGTCCCACTCTGCACAACTCACACAGCCATGGGGTGCTTCTCTTGCACATCGTGTACTGCTATACCAAAAACTTTTGTTTTAGCAAATATTATTTATTGTAAAAAGCTAAATAATGCTGGAATGAAGCTGAATCTTACAATTAGCAAATAGTTGAGTGTTGTTCAAATAAAAAAAAAAGACTGAACAAACATTCATACCCTGGTTCAGTGGAGATCCGTCCTTCTTCGTGGTCACTGTCTTCAGATATAAGCCTTCTGGGACACCTAATAGATCGTGCTGATTTTCTTTGAGGCCTTTCCATAATTTCATGCTGGTTTTTATGCTAATTAGCTTCCCCGTTCCGTTATCCGGAATGTTGCGCTCCGTTTCAATCAGGCTGTACAGCAGGATTTCCCCTCGTAGCGATATTTTACGTATCTCTGATTGCTTCATGCTATAGATCGTTGGAAAGCTGCTTTTATGTACTTTTAGGAACCGTTGGAATTTTTTAAATCTGATCAGCCATTCAAAAGTTAAAAAATGGAGCATTTTGGATGACAAACTCAGCACGTCTCTGAGTCTGTGTTGTGATTCGTTGCGCTCAAGACAGGGAATCCCGGTGGCTACCGTAATTATATTGTATTGTATATGCACGAAAAGCCCCATTTTTAATCTTTTCAGCACTTTTGGAATTTTAATGATATCTTGAACGGTTCAGGAATTATGGTAACGAGAAGCAAGTCCAATCCCGTCTGTGGCGACAGGTTGGTAATAAGAATATTGTGACATTAGGGGTGCCGGTGGTCAGGGCTAGGAGGCCCCCCAACACAAGGGGGCCCCAGGCGGCCGCCTACCTATGCCTAATGGTAAAACCGCCTCTGCTCAGATGGGCACCAGCTTCCAATGACTGTGCAAGAAGAAAAACTTAAAGAATGTAAATGATTATTGGTGTGGCTGGTGAGGCTTCCTTGGCCTTGGTTTACTCGTGCATGTTTAATGATGAGGAGACAGGCTTCCACAGTACTCCGATGAAAAGATAAAAAAATTATTCCACAGCTTGTAATCTTACAGGAGAGTCCAAAATTAAGTTTTCCTCGGTTTAAATAAAACAATGCTGCGTTAAGAAACCATATTGCTCTACACCTCACCATGCTCAGCTGGATGTAACTGGTTTTTACAGCCCCACCCCATGTGTCTGCCTTTTTCTTAAAGTGACAGGTAACCTATTTTCTACCCTGCATGAATTGACCAAAACAAGTATTCTTTTAACAAATGAACATTTTTAAATACACAAATGAAATTGTTTTTAGTTTAACTTATTCACAGACTTATATAACGTATATGAACTCAAACTTGGCTTCCACAATTGGTATGGTTTTTATTATAATTATTATATAGGTCATTAATATAAGGCAATTCGTCTGGGTCAGAACCAGGTCACTGCAGCCCACCCTGGCCTTCGAAACCCCTTGGGGTGCTCTTCTAACTTCAGGACATTTTTACCAGGCCACTGTGACATTGAACCAGGTATGGGGTAAGCGGGCCTGGAGGGCCACTGCCCTGCATGTTTCACTGTGTTCTTAGACCTAAACAAAGATGACAAAAGTACTGACGTTCTTTACTTAAGTAGAACTACAGATACCTGTGTATAAAACTACTCTGGTAAAAGTACTGAGTGAATTTCTTCACTTAAATAAACGTAAAAAGTACAGGCTCTAAAAAAGTAGTATAAAAATAAATAAAAAATCACTGTTATACACAAAAGCTTCTGGATTGGGTTGAGAAGTTTATTCCAACAACACAACAATCGTTAACTGACGTTTACATAAAAAAATCACATTGATGGTTCAAAAGAGGTGGGCTGAAGGTGAGTAGATATGGTTATGCACACCTACCCCGGTCCTCAAAAGGCTTGCCTGTAAAAATTTGAACTGCAATTGTTTTCAATTTTGCCAATTTGACTTAAAACATTGAATCAAAGCCCCTTCAGATCTTCATGCATTTTTTTCCTTTTGAGAGGAATTACCTCTACAAAACTAAATAAACCTTTTATTGAGCTTCATCAGAAACTGGTTGGTTCTCAAAGTTCTTTGCATCAACACATGTCCTTGTGGCTCTGAAAATGAGTCCTGCAGTGCTGAAAAGCCCCTCACAAGCAGCTGAAGCAAGCAGAGGTATGTTCAGCTGCAGTGGCAAATTCCAAACTGCTGGAAAAGATTTCAGGACATCCATAGAAGCAGCTGGACAGGCCAGGTAGGACTCCAGCTGCTTGGAGTTTTCCTGAACATTGCCCTGCCTGATGGTGCAAAAGAAGTCCTCCTCCTCTGAAGAAAATTACATGTCACCTGGGTGCACCACAGGTTGCTCCTTCAGATAACTTTAGATGAAACCAAGACCTATGACAACCAAAATCAAAAAGATTACAGAATTCATCACCTCTATCAAAATAACAGCTAACTTGTTGCATACCAATTAAAGTGTGAAAGAACAGATTTTTATTCTGAATTTTATAATTATGTGTGAACTAATCACATGAAGTCATAGTGACCCAATCATTATTTACTTTTGTTGTAATTTATTAGCCTGGCAAGCCAGACTATATATGTGAATATATACTATATAATATAATATATACAAACTTTGCAAAGCAAGAATTTGGTCTAGTTCACTAGGCTAGTAATTTATAATATACCCCACAATAATTCATGAGTTCAGTCATCAAGAATCACTGATCAATTTTCATTTTTGCAAAAATGAAATGTAATTTTCACTTTTTATTATAAGAAAAATAATCATCCAATATTTTATGGGTAATTCATGTAAAAAAAACTTAACTCTTACCAAACTCCAAGTACTGTTGTCACTTGTCCAACATGTCCTGAATGTGACGTTCACGAACGAATCAAATCTTTTGAACGGGTTTTCAAAGTGAATTACGAGAGCCGAGAGCCATTCGTCTTGTCTTCCGGTAACAAACCTCCCCAGAAGTCGGTAAAGCGCACCCGCTCAAACTCCACCTGCCGCTGTGACAGAGGTTGCCCTGCCTGCAACCACAATGAACTACCTGCATTACACTGTCAGGGGCAGGATTTCTAGTCATCCAGGAAACTGTCAGCTTACCATCCTCAATGTGCCATCAATTACCAGCATGAGGGGGGCACATATCTTAGCTTTCAGAGCTGACCTCATTATGACTGCTTGGCAGTTTGCCCTTTTGAAGTGTTGATACAGGGCATCATTTGTGGGGGGATAAATAATGCTGGCAAAGCTGATGATGCCATGCAGAATGCTTTGTATCTGGCTTCATTTACATTTTGGGCAGTTGGTTGTTCATGCAGGTGGCAGACATACTGTGATCATCGACATGTACATAAATGGACAATGGGTTTTCATAGGCTCTAATAACACGTTTTTGAGGCTAAATGGGAGGTGGCCACCACCGCCATTTTGACCGTGTCACAGGTTCCGTCAAGCCCAGACAATTCCACAAAAGGGAAGAGAGGTGGAGCTGAGGGTGGGGCTGTAAGGCTGGGATCAACTGACGACACCCAGTCGAACTAGCTACAAGCTAACCTGAAGCTAACCCAAAGTTAACGCGGAGGTGGGAGCTAAGCTAATGGAGGTAGCAACCTAGCTACAACCGGAGTTAACTGTGCACAACACCAGAGCTTCTGAGTCAGAGATACGCCCGGCTGACCGCTGGGTAAAACCGAGTGGAACACAGAGGTCTCCCGAGAGCTTCACAAGCCGGCAGCCGCACAGCAGACAAGCGCCGCTGCGATCTGAGATGCGCAGAGCTGCAGCTGGGGAGAACCGGGTGGAAAACATCTGTTTCCATCCGAGATCTCCACAAGCCGGCAGCCTGCGCAGCAGACAGGAGCCGCGATCAGACAGAGATGCGCCGAGCTGAGAGGTCCCAACTGAAATTTGAACCTGTGACTAACTGTGTGGGAGATTGATACTAACCACTTCATTGTTGTGGACGATACAGAAAGTCTGACTAGCATGAGTAAAATAGAATGACACAGGTACTGTTTTATTTAGATATTTTCTCAAGGTTTTATCAAAACCTAAAGGTGCAAGAAGTAATATTCACATTTTGGGGTCAAATATGGGTACTTCAGTCCATCAATATAAAAACGAGTCAGTTTTCAGCCACACCCCCATGCCATGCTAGCCACTAATCAGCTTCAGAAAGTTCTAGAAGACGAGCAAAGTCAAGTCATACACAGTAAGTTGATAAGTAGATAAATAAAATGCAAGTTATTGGTTGGAAACCTTACATTGAGATATTTTTAGAGCTGACTTTTTTCTTCTAATTCACCGTTAGCCAGTGGTGGGCAGTCAGGGCCAGCAAAGCCTTCTCTGCTGGCCTAAACATACTCAAAAGCGTAAATGTATTTTCTTTCCTTTGGTAATTATTTTTAACTAAAAAAAATGTTTACTGGTCTATTTTCTTTATATCCTATTATACCCACTTGGCTGTGCTGCTTCCAGTGTTAAAATACCAAGGCTGGGTGTTATCCAATCAGATTTAAGCTAGCTTGTGTTTTCAGGCAGATTAAGTCTGCTCTAGGCCTTCAGAATCAATCGAGAAGCCCACTGTCCGCTGTAAGTGAACAGAGACGGTCTAGTTGCGATAGCCAATCAGCTCACGAGTCAGCTTGGCCCGGGCCAGCTAGCTGGCCTCACGCAAAAGTTGACATGAACGCATCCTGTGATTGGATAAGCAGTAGTTAGAACTTTTCTAGCGGCATGAAGCAAAATATCAAAACTAAACACGGAGATTTGTACCTATAGGCAGCTATCGGTGTATTTTTGAACACATGATGGCTGAAAGAGGAGAAGAGACAGACTTGGTTGCAGATCAACTTGCCACACCATTTTCAAGACGGACCTTTCAAGAAAAAATGGATATTGTGAGAACAGGTCGTCTGACTCCAACGCTAGCTGGCTTGTCCCAGCAGGGGAAAGGATTTGTTCGTCATTTTCAGACAAGCAACTATGAACGGTACCCATGGCTAACAGCTTCAGAGAACCGCTGCAGGTTATTCTGCTGGGAATGCCTGTTGCTCGCATCAGATGGATTTGGTAGCATTAAAGCGCGTTAAAAAGTACGCCAGAAACACGACCGGGCAGACACGTCTTTCAGCATTAGCCTCCATGTCCGTAGAAAAGGATCCACTCATGGACCTGAAGCGCACAGATAAACTGTACAGAGCCACTGAGGTTTTCCTGAGGAAAGAAAGAAGGATGGATTTTATTTTCTAATGAGCAGGAGAGGAGGAGATCCATGCTGGACATTTATGTTGGTGAGTAGAAACATTTTATTAGTATTTTTTTTAATGTTTTGTCATTTTATTTTGTTAATAATCAATAAATGGTAACGAAATAAACTGGCAAAATGAAATTATTCTGTGTTCTGTTTCTATGCAATTTATATTGTGTATGACGTGGTGTGCAGCTGCGCCAACATGTTCAATTGTTTCGCGGTACAATTTTCTCCAAAACAAATGCAAATAATGTGTTTGCTTTACTTATTTATTTTATTGTCTCATCTCTTAAACCCGTCTTTCATTTCTGAGATTTGACGGTATCCGTGGTCCGCTTCCTACTCTCAACTGGGAATGCGAGTTTGATTTTAAAGACTCTGGAAATTATGTGTCTTGACCAGCCACTGGTGTGTGTGTGTGTGTGAGGTTTCTCCAGCTGTGATGTCCTATTGATGGTATTTTAAGGTGTATTAAATTAGATTGGACTGAATAGGAAATCACTGAAGGCCCAGGGGTGGAACGCACCGCCCGCCACTGCCGTTAGCATTGTTAGCTCAACATTAGCCACTAGCCTTCCATACCTGATATTAGAGTAAAACAAAAAGATGTCGTGGTTTCTTAGAAATAACTTCTGGGTTACCAGATTCTATTCTCACCAGCTGGTGTCGAATCACAAATGCCAACACAGCAGTATGTGCTGGCATAGACCCGTGGGCTCAAATATTAAAAGCACCAAGTATGGAGGCTGGGCAGATTGTACATGAGGACTACGTCCCTTTGCAGCCTTTTTGAAAGGAGAAAAACTGATAACTGAGTAGGAAATCATTTTCATCTTAACTTTTCTTCCAACATGATTCAGACTTGTGTGATTATTTCACAGTAAATTTCCGGCCAAACAAATCTGAGCAGGCCATTTTATTCACTGATAAGTTATTTTTCACAAAAACATTAACACTGTAGGAGTAACAGCAATCCTACTTGTTTTCTAAATGTAACACATTTTTCCTAAATTTTGTTAAACTAGTTTAGGATTGAAACCGCACCTCCAGCTGCAGCTTGAATGCAGCATGTAAAATAATATATCTTACAGGTAGATAAGTAATTAAATAGATAAATATTGACCAAATATATCAGTAAAAACCTCCAGAACATGTGAATCTGAAAACTCCCAAACAGGATGACAGCAGTGAGTTGTTTGGATGTATTAATGAGTAAGGGAAGCACATTTAACCCTCTCTAACTGGCACCAGTCACATGTCACACCTTTAATGGTAAATGACCCGCACTTGTGCATGTAAGGGTGTCATATGAGCCTTTCCTCTGGTGGGACTTTCAGCATGCTGTCCATTTCCAACCGGGCTCCTGCCAGTTCCTGAGTACTGGGGCTATACACACCCTCTGACTGGCGCTTCTTCTTCGCTGAAAGGATCATGGAGGTCAAACCGATGATCAGTATCACCATGCAGAGGCAGAGCAGGGGGAGAGCCACCATTGTCCATCTGCTCTCTACGTAGGCTTGTTTCTGCAAAAGATACCAATGATATAATTTATTTTGTGTTCAATCTTACTTTGTTTAAGAAGTTCATGCTTTTGCACAACAATAGAAGATTTTAGATGTCTAGATCACTGGAGTATTGTAGGTATTTAGGGCAGCCTAGGTCACAGGTCGATGATAGATTTTGTAGTCGTATCATCTGACCTGCGGCCGTATGTTTTGGACACCCGGGTGAAGAGAGGGGCGGAGCTGTCAACTGATCACCACCTGGTGGTGAGTTGGATCAGATGGCAAGGGAAGATGCCGCGTAGACCTGGCAGACCCAAACGCATAGTGAGGGTCTGCTGGGAACGCCTGGCAGAAGAACCTGTCAAGACGGTCTTCAACTCCCACCTCCGGCAGAGCTTTGACCACGTCCCGAGAGCAGTGGGGGACATTGAGTCCGAGTGGGCCTTGTTCCACTCTGCGATTGTCGAGGCGGCTGTTGCTAACTGTGGTCGTAAGGTGGCCGGTGCCAGTCGTGGTGGCAACCCCCGTACCCGCTGGTGGACACCAGAGGTTCGGGGAGCCGTCAGGCTGAAGAAGGAGGCCTACAGGGCGTGGCTGGTCTGTGGGTCTCCGGAGACAGCAGACAGGTACCGGATAGCCAAGCGGGGTGCAGCAGTGGCAGTTGCCGAGGCAAAATCTCGGGCGTGGGAGGAGTTTGGTGAGGCCATGGAGAAAGACTATCGATCGGCTCCAAAGAGGTTCTGGCAAACTGTCCGGCGCCTCAGGAGAGGAAGGCAGCAACTCGCTCACACTGTTTACAGTGGGGATGGGGAGCTGCTGACGTCAACTGAGGCTATAGTCGGACGGTGGAAGGAATACTTTGAGGAGCTCCTCAATCCCACCAATGCGCATTCCGAGGAGGAACCAGAGCTGGGAAGCCTGGGGATGGACTGTCCGATCTCGGGGGCAGAAGTTGCTGAGGTAGTCAAACAACTACACAGCGGCGGAGCCCCGGGGGCGGATGAGGTTCGTCCTGGGTATCTCAAGGCTATGGATGTTGTAGGGCTGTCATGGTTGACACGTCTCTACAACATTGCGTGGTCATCGGGGGCAGTTCCTGTGGAGTGGCAGACCGGGGTGGTGGTCCCCATCTTTAAGAAGGGTGACCTGAGGGTGTGTTCCAACTATAGGGGGATCACACTCCTCAGCCTCCCTGGAAAGGTCTACGCCAAGGTACTGGAGAGGAGGGTCCAATCGATAGTTGAATCTCAGATAGAGGAGGAGCAATGTGGTTTTCGTCCTGGCCGTGGAACTGTGGACCAGCTCTATACCCTTGCAAGGGTGATGGAGGGGGCATGGGAGTTTGCCCAACCAATCCACATGTGCTTTGTGGATTTGGAGAAGGCTTATGACCGTGTCCCCAGGGGCACCCTGTGGGGGACGCTCCAGGAGTATGGGGTGGGTGGCTTTCTGTTAAGGGCCATTCAGTCCCTTTACCATAGGAGCGTGAGTTTGGTCCGCATAGCCGGTAGTAAGTCGGACCTGTTCCCAGTGAGGGTTGGACTCCGCCAGGACTGCCCTTTGTCACCGGTTCTGTTCATCACTTTTATGGACAGAATTTCTAGACGCAGCCGTGGTGTGGAGTGTGTCGAGTTTGGTGGCAGGAGAATCTCGTCTCTGCTTTTTGCGGATGATGTGGTCCTCCTAGCTTCATCCAGCTCTGACCTTCAGCTCTTGCTGGGTAGGTTCGTGGCCGAATGTGAAGCGGCTGGGATGAGGATCAGCACCTCCAAATCTGAGACCATGGTTCTCGACCGGAAAAGGGTGGCTTGCCACCTCCGGGTCGGGGGAGAGGTCCTACCTCAAGTGGAGGAGTTTAAGTATCTCGGGGTCTTGTTCACGAGTGAGGGTAGGAGGGATCGGGAGATCGACAGGCGGATTGGTTCGGCGTCTGCAGTGATGCGGACGCTGAGCCGATCTGTCGTGGGGAAGAGGGAGCTGAGCCAGAAAGCCAGGCTCTCGATTTACCGGTCGATCTACGTCCCAATCCTCACCTATGGTCATGAGCTTTGGGTAATGACCGAAAGAACGAGATCGCGGATACAAGCGGCCGAAATGAGTTTCCTCCGTAGGGTGGCCGGGCTCAGCCTTAGAGATAGGGTGAGGAGCTCGGACATTCGGGAGGGACTCGGAGTAGAACCGCTGCTCCTCTTGATCGAAAGGAGCCAGTTGAGGTGGTTTGGGCATCTGGTCAGGATGCCTCCTGGACGCCTCCCCGGGGAGGTGTTTCGGGCATGTCCTGCCGGCAGAAGGCCCCCGGGTCGACCCCGGACACGTTGGAGAGGTTACATCTCCAATCTGGTCCGGGAATGCCTTGGGGTCCTGCCGGAGGAGCTGGTGGACAAGGCCGGGGAGAGGACGGCCTGGAGCTCCCTAATTGGGATGCTGCCCCCGCGACCCGGACCCGGATAAGCGGAGGAAGACGAAGACGAAGACGAAGTAGATCACTGGAGTTCGTTTTCATGTATAGGAAGTGTGCTGGACTGGTTGCAGGAGTTTACAGCAAAGAAGAAGGGCCCTAAGTCCCATCAGCCCCCATCAGCCCTTAGACATGTCCAAACCATCCATTTGTGGATATAAAATGTGCTTGGACATCTGGTTTCTACAAATTGCAAAAGGTCAAATGTTAATAAAAAACAAATAATAGAAATATGAAAACAATACACACATTAATGTCACACACTGGTCCACTGTACCCAGGCGGGCATTCACAAAAAAACATGTTGTATCGGTCCAAACAGGAGCCACCGTTCTTACAAGGGCTGGACTCACATTCATTGATTTCCATTTCACACCTGAAAGAAACAAAGAAAGAAAGAAAGAAAGAAAGCAATTAGTCAGTTAATATTCATTAATATTTTTCTAAAAAGGGCCCATAACTCCATTAGAATGAATGTTATTCTATATCAGTTTATTTTGTTTTTTTCTAACTTTAAAACAAGTATTGAAGCAATTACCTCACAATTATTTGTGTAATAATTTAGTGACTTTCTTCTTTATTGGTTATCTTAGTTGAGTAGATAGAAGTATTTACCTGCTGCCTGTGAAACCTGGCATACAGGTACAGTTGGCTCCCCAGAGTCCGTCACTGCAGATCCCATCATTTTCACACTGAACATCTTTGGTGCACTCTATTGGAGGATAGTCCCACCTAAAGGAAATGTTTTAAGAATAACTTTTTAAAATAGCAAGATAAATAAAAGTTCAATAATGTCTTACTTTGTGAGTCATGGTATGATAAATCTACTACAGGAGTGTCCAAACCTTTTGTAAAAAAAAAAAATTTATTTCTTTACATAAAAAGTGCAAAAAAAGGTTATCTTTTAATTTTACTTGTTCAATATTCTGTTAAATATGAATGGAAAAATGAATGATAATAGTTGTTGTTTTGAAGAAAAAGATCTGTTAATAATGTATCGATAAAAGACATAAAATGGTTCAGATGGTGTTAACGGCTACCAGCCTGGCCACTGAGGTGCAGGAGCCAGGATCAGCCCTGGTGATCAGCCTGACAACGCCCCTCCTCCTCCTCCTCTCCTCCAGGCTGCTGAGGAGCACAGCTGAGCTGAATCCTGCTGATGACCCACACCTGGATAAAAAGGCTGTGCCTTCAGCAGTCTGGGGGGCAGCAGTGCAGGGGTTCTGCTGTCCTCCAAGCCTCTCTTTATATGTATGTATATATATATATATATATATATATATATATATATATATATATATATATATATATATATATATATATATATATATATATATATATATAACCAACCAACCAACCAACCAACCCACCCCTTCATGTTGAAGGGTTTAAACTTTTATAGTTTTAACTCTGAGTGATCCAGTGAGATTGTTTTAAAGGTTAACTCTGTGATAATTTTATTGACTTTGGTTTTAAAACACCTTCTGTTCCGGTAAATCTCCTAACATAAGTTTTAACCAGGTGTTTTATGTCAATAGATTGTTTTAGACCTGTTATCAACTGTAGATTTTGAAACACCTTCTGTTTTTGTGAAACGTTTAATGAGTTTTAACCAGGTATTTTTAATGTTGGTAACTGCTCTTTTAATGTAAACCTTTTTTGAGTTTTTTTTTTTTTTTTTTTGCTCACCATCTGTTTGCACTTGTGTTTAGAACCTTTTATAACAATTAAACTCACTTTAACTCCACTGTAGTATTTCTTATGCTGCTCCCTCCTTCACATTTTAGCACCTCCTGTCGGGGATGTAACAAATGGTTTGTTCTAATAACAGAAAAGCATCAAATTGGGTTGTTATCTAGTTTCCTGGTCTTGAAATATGGATTTCTTTTTTTCATTGAATTCTTTATTTTTTTTTTAGTAAAAGTCAGTGAAGGTTTGTAATCAGATTAAACTTGAAATGAAATTAAGAGCAAAACACCCGGTTAATAAAAAATTAGGATTGGACTTAACTTTTAAAAATATTTTCATCAAATGTTTTTGGTGAGACTCCCATTAGTAAACCTGTCAGCATAGACACATGACTGCATCAATAACCTGTGATGGTACTGTACATCTCTGTCTGTGAAGGAGTGCTAGATGAAAGAGGATGAATGTTTCTAAATGGATAAGGTTTAGGCTTTATACATTCCTGTACACTTAACAGTAACTAAATTTCCTAACTTGCAGTCAAGGGTCAAACAAAATCAGTCTGAGGACCACAAATGTCTGACACTTTGGACACCCCTGACCTACCCCCATGTTCAAGCATTTTGAGAATTTCTCAAACATAAACTGTGACAAAGTTTGCTTCATTGGTGTTTATGATTGTTATTTGTATAATTTAATCATTATTCAGTGCAAAGTCCCTTGTTGTGAAAATAAATCCTCATACACCTCTTGCCACTGCTGACCATTTTTTTCAATACAGGTGTGTTAATTAGCAAAGGACCACTTGTCTTTAGCACTTCTGTTCATTCATATTTATGTAGTTATTCAAAGTAGTGATAGAGTGGGAACTCACTGGCAGCGGGGGCCGCTGTAGTCCTCGGGGCATATACAGGTGTACATGTTAGTTCCATCCCGACATGTTCCTCCATGTTCACAAGGATGATGCTCACACTCGTTGATGTCCTCCTTACAGAACATGCCTGCATAACCAGGGGCACAGTGACACTGAAAACCACCTAAATGGTCCTCACAGGTGCCATGAATACACGGCTGAGACGCACAGTCGTTAGTGTCTGTCTCACAACGCTCCCCCTCCCAACCAGTGTCACACACACAGCCAAACTTATTGAAGAGGTCTTCACATGTGGCTCCATTTAGGCAGGGATCTGAGTCACAAACTGGGGCACTGGTGCAGCCTAGATGAATCTTTGGATTTCCAACTGAATGAAACTGTGAGGACTGTGGAGCTTTCTTATTATCTGCAAAAGGGAGATAGATGCCTTCAAACCTCACTGCACCCAAGCAGCCAGTGAAGCTCTCAGCTACAGATACGATGACCCCCTTTTCATTCAGGAAGCCAAGACTTCCTGTGTGCTCTGTCCCACTGCTGCTGTCTGTTATTCCATCCACAGTGATGACCCATGGAGACGTTTTATACTTTTTTTCAGCCTTAAATATGCTCACACGATGCCAGCGTCCATCAGCCACTTGAGATGTTCCTTTGAGGGTCAGAGACTCAGCGTTGTTACCATCTTGGATTTGTACCCAGACTGAGAAATCCAGCAAACCCACCACCAGCAGGTGAGACCCCCTGGAAGCCCTCAGGATCACAGCATTCTCCGAGCGAGTCCGCAGCTCCACATAAATGTTAGAGATGGCTTCAGCCAGTGAGCCTCCAGCACTAAACTTCACAGGGTTGTTTTCAAATGTGGCGTTGTACAAACCTATGGGCAAACATTCACAAATAGGTCAATCAATGTTAGAAATTTGGCTGATTTCAGTAAATTTTCTGTTAAGTACAGGTGCTGGCCAGTAAATTAGAATATCATCAAAAGGTTGAAAATATTTCAGTAATTCCATTCAAAACGTGAAACTTGTACATTATATTCATGCAATGCACACAGACCAATGTATTTCCAATGTTCATTACATTTAAATTTGATATTCATAAGTGACAACTAATGAAAACTCCAAATTTGGTATCTCAAAAAATTAGAATATTCTGAAAAGGCTGAATATAGAAGGCACCTGCTGCCACTCTAATCAGCTGATTTACTCAAAACACCTGCAAAGGCCTTTAAAAGGTCCCTCAGTCTTGTTTTGAAGGCACCACAATCATGGGGAAGACTTCTGACTTAACAGCTGTCCAAAAGACAATCATTGACACCTTGCACAAGGAGGGCAAGACACAAAAGGTGATTGCTAAAGAAGCTGGCTGTTCGCAGAGCTCTGTGTCCAAGCACATTAACAGACAGGCGAAGGGACGGAAAAAATGTGGTAGAAAAAAGTGTACAAGCTCTAGGGATAACCGCACCCTGCAGAGAATTGTGACGACAAACCCATTCAAAAATGTGGGGGAGATCCACAAAGAGTGGACTGCAGCTGGAGTCAGCGCTTCAAGAACCACCACGAGGAGACTCATGAAAGACATGGGATTCAGGTGTCGCATTCCGTGTGTCAAGCCACTCTTGAACAAGAAACAGCGCAAGAAGCGTCTCGCCTGGGCCAAGGACAAAAAGGACTGGACTGATGCTGAGTGGTCCAAAGTTATGTTTTCTGATGAAAGCAAGTTCTGCATTTCCTTTGGAAATCAAGGACCCAGAGTCTGGAGGAAGAGCGGAGAAGCACAGAATCCATGTTGCATGAGGTCCAGTGTAAAGTTTCCACCGTCAGTGATGGTGTGGGGTGCCATGTCATCTGCCGGTGTTGGCCCACTCTGTTTCCTGAGGTCCAGGGTCAATGCAGCCGTCTACCAGGAAGTTTTAGAGCACTTCATGCTTCCTGCTGCTGACCAACTTTATGGGGATGCAGACTTCACCTTTCAACAGGACTTGGCACCTGCACACAGTGCCAAAACCACCAGCACCTGGTTCAAGGACCATGGTATCCCTGTCCTTGATTGGCCAGCAAACTCGCCTGACCTTAACCCCATAGAAAATCTATGGGGTATTGTGAAGCGGAGGATGCAATACGCTAGACCCAACAATGCAGAGGAGCTGAAGACGACTATCAGAGCAACCTGGGCTCTCATAACACCTGAGCAGTGCCACAGACTGATCGAGTCCATGCCACGCCGCATTACTGCAGTTATTGAGGCAAAAGGAGCCCCGACTAAGTATTGAGTGCTATACATGCACATTCTTTTCATGTTCATTCTTTTCAGTTGGCCAACATTAGAGAAACAAACATTTTTTCATTGGCCTTTAGAATATTCTAATTTTCTGAGATACCAGATTTGATGTTTTCATTGGTTGTCACCTATAAATATCAAAATTAAACGTAATAAACATCGGAAATACATTGGTCTGTGTGCATTGCATGAATATAATGTACAAGTTTCACGTTTTGAATGGAATTACTGAAATATTTTCAACCTTTTGATGATATTCTAATTTACTGGCCAGCACCTGTATAGTTAATGAAAGACAAGAAAGGCATTTCTGTCCAGTTATCTAAAACCATACATAATATTTGATTATTTCTTTGAGGAAAAATGCTCCTGTTCTTGAAAACCGTGAATAACAAACTTAAATTCTTACATTCGTATCCATCAGGAAGGTCCACACAATGGCCGCCGTTGACACAAGGATGACTAGCACACCACATTCGTGTTTCACAGGTCTTTCCTGTGTAGTCCTCCAGACATGTACAAGTAAAGTCATTGAATGTAATGGAGCATTCTCCTCCATTTTGACAAGGCTGGATCTGTAAAGAACAGGTGATCAGTGATTTGGACAAAAAACTAATGTAGATAATTCAACACATAAATGAGGGAAATTAGTAGATTAAATTATTTTTCTGCCAGAAATGCTTCATCTAAAGAGGACATATTTTGCAAAGCTCACCTTTTGCATCATTTTGTGCTGCCAGTGTTGGGAAAACTTGTTTTAAAAAACGAACTAGTTCAAAGTTCAGTTCATACATTTTAAAATGAACTAGTTCATTTTTGAATTCACATTCACAAACAAAAAAAATGAACGAGTTCATGAACGATCGTTCAATGAATGTGTTTGGGCACAAGTCGGTGCTACCATGTGGGTCTCTACTAGGGGTTGTACGAAATAGCCGACTAGTCGACTAGTCGACTTCACGGCTCTGTAGTGACTTTTTATGCCTGTCATCAACTAGTCGCTGTCACGTGATAATGACTGACAAGATGCAGTCCTCAGAAAAGACAGCAGGTGACGAGCCTCTGCGCGTCTGGATCGAGGCGGAGGCAACGCGCTGTGCGGTACTGACACCGGCGGTAAAACGGACATTTAACCAAACTGTGACCTTTTCCCTCTTGCAATTTAACCTTCCCCTCACCCCCATCCTAATCTTAACCAGTTTGTGCATGCAAAGCTCTGATCGTTGACGTGCGCTCCAGACATTGCGTCCTGAGCACCGCCAAATTAGGTGTCACCACCTCAAAAACAAATTAAACACGCGATTGTTCATGTCGGCTCATTTCCTTTCATGTTTTCTGTCTGTTATTTGTGCCTGATGCATTTCGCTGCTGCGGAGCGAGGCGCATCACCTGTTGTCCTCCGGTGACGCACCCCCAAGATTCTACTATCTCTCCACTCCGCTCTGGCATGAACTCCGCAGCAAAAACGGTCCCGTTGTAGTCGGCCGGCGAGCAGCGGCACTCCGCTGTTTTTGCGGTTGGTAGATCTTTCAGAACTGCAGTTCAAAGGTAACTCATGAGGTGAATAAATATGAACGCAGGTAGCAGTTTTTCTTTAGGATTGAGAGGAGATGCAGGAAGATAATAAACAGACAGGACAGAAAAATAGTCAAATAAAAACAAGTTAGTTTTTGTACCTGGTGGTTGCAACAAACAGACACCATTGAAGGTAATCAGAAGTGAGGAACAGAAAATGAAATAATTATTTTAATGTTTAGAGCAGCAGGAACTCTGAGAGGCTGCAGGCGCATCAGTGAGTTTGCGGCCGCTGCGCAGGGGGAGGGGGGAGAGGGCTGAAGCAAGATGCAGAAACTACCGTTGTTAAAAGAGATGTGTTAACTTAGAAAATGTGGGCGCAATTTTAATTGTCAAAAACTCCAGCGAACCTACCGAAACCCCCCCCCCCCCCCACCCCCCCACCCCCGCCGCCGCTTCCGGCGTATGACGTCATCAACGACTAGTCGAAGTCGACTCGACTTTCATTACTTGACTGTCGACTTTAAAAAAAATAAAGTCGTGCAGGCCCTAGTCTCTACTGCTTATATAAACTTGAAAAAAAAACTATTTTCTGTCAGTGTTTGGTTTTAGGAACTATGTGCCTAAAATGAGCCGTTTCACGGGGAAGGGGGAAATTAGCATAGAGCCACCTCTCATGGTCGAGAGAGCTGCTGCTGGAGGAGCCGGACTTCTACTCCAAGCCTCGGATCTCCAGCTAATAGCAACCTGAGATGGGATGGGTGGGCGTGGCCAGCTTCAGCTTGTTTTGTTAAAGTGACAGGGCCCTGACACAACTCATTCTGGAAGGTACTGAAACTGTCAGGAATCTAACTGTTGATATTGTTTTATGTGAGAAAGATTTAGTGCAAATACCTTCATGGATATGTTTTGTATTGGCCACAGAGTCAGTATAACTTAATAAAAGTCATATTTTTTTTAAATACTCAGTGTGTTTTTTATGTGCTTTCTGGTAGATTTTTTTAGGTACCTTTTTTTCAACTATGTACTAATTTTTAATTGTCTTTTATCTTTGTTCTTAAACTGGTTTGCACTTTCTGCGTTGAGCTGCTGCAACAAAAGTTCATTCCTGTACACTTGTACACACAGAAATAACAATAAAAAGGAACCTTAATCTGGATCTGAATCTAATATGTCCCCTTTAAAGGACTGCACTCTAAAGATTAATGAATAGAAGTACGCATGTGTGTTTCTTACCTTGCATGTATCATCACTAATGCAGCCCTCCATCACATTTTCATAATCACTTGACAGATAAGTGTCCTTGTTTGGATCACTCGAGCCAGTAAGATCCAAATGTACCGAGTCCAAGCGAACGTCCTGGAGGCAGCCTTTGAAATGCCCCCCCCACTTATCAGAGTCCCAGTCTTCTGGAAGTCCTCCGATGTAGACCTGATCTCCACTGTTGACAGTAACTTCAAGGATCCTCCCAATGCCATAATTAAGGCTGGCATGATCAAAAATCACATGTCCATTTCTGATTTCTAAAAACAGAAACTGCTTCTCACCATTGGTCACATAAATGGGAGCGGTCAGCGGGGTGCTGTTAGACAGAGAACTGACAAACACTCTCCCCATGCTCAGGTAGACTGAGAAGTAGACCTCTCCTTCATCGTCTGTGGGTGTCCTGAGCTGGAACAGCAACCCATCTGGCTTTAATGACTTCAAAAAGAAAGAGACATTAAAGCTGCTCCCGTGGCTCTTGTCCACATCATAGGCACTAAAACTTTTTGAGTCCTCATGGCTGTAAGTCCATGGTAAGAATTCTGCCAAAGGACAAAAAAACAACAAAACAAAAAAACTTTTAATTCTACTTAATAACTCATAAAAAGACAAAACATGTTTTAAATTCAAAGAAGGTCAAATTTATGACCTGTAATTGTTCCCTTCAAACGGCAGCCAATTGCATATGTGCATGTAAAAAAGTCCCCTTTGATTAGATAACAACTTAGCTTTAATGTTCATCATGATAAAAAAGCTTCAACCAAAACATTTTTTTTGTAATCTCGGTTTAATTAGCATCTTCAGTGACAGCTGCTCACAGTTAAATTATCTATGTGTTGAACTATGTTTGAAGATATCATCACAGCCCAGCATGCAGGTCTTATTTCATGCTGCTGTGTGTTTTGTAACAAATGCAGGCTTGTTCTCATTACAGCGTCTTGTATGCATCCTTACGAATTTCTCTAAATCCGGAACAAATGTCTCTGTTAAATGCTAGACGTTTATTTCTGCCCTTTTGTCACACCAAATTAGCAGTGTGTGTAATGCTACAACTGGCTCAACAATCCTGTAGAAGCTGCAGATTTAGTAAAAATGCACTGAGCTCTCATACTAAATAAAAACAAATGTGAAAATGGCAGGATTACAAACAGAATTAAGTGCATGAAAAACTTAAATCACATGAATCTGAGGTTTGTTAGGATGTCGTGTTGGATGTAAGCTTACCCTCAGAACAGCTCCAGCCATGGAAGGGACGATAGCAGCTGCATTTATAGCTGCTCCACAGGTCAACACAACGTCCATGACCATGGCATGGGTCAGGCCTACACCACTCAGTCTTACCACACCCTAACTCATAACTTTGATCCTGTGGGAGTGCTTGGGGTAGAATGGGTTTTGAGTCAATCATGAGGTCTTCCATACATCCAATGAACCCTGCAGTACTTCTAGAAAGCTGCAGAAGCTCATTTGGTGCCCCACCTATATAAACATTAGTAAATGCTTTTGAGGGTTGGAACGGAGGTTCTTCTGCACCATCTGTGACTTTACAACTATCTCTGTGACAGCCAGGGCCTTTCAGTTCCAACACAAGACTGCTGTTATCCATAAACACATGAACATCTCTCCATTCTCCATCACTAGCCAGCTCAGGAATTGTTACGTCCATTTCAGATTCTTCAGAAAAGGCTTTTGCATGAAGACCGCCATTAAAAATCTCTAGAAGAAGGTAGTTATCCACATCCCCTCTGTAAAATAGCAACATGTTGGGTAGGGTTGTCCGGAAGCGAAGCTGTACCCCCAAACCCAGGTGATCCTGATGCTCGGCCTCCCTGCGACTACGTTCTTCTGCAGTGACCTGAATGTGAATAAATCCAGGAGTGGACAAGGAAAATGTTGTTCTTGTGGAGCATTGCTCATCATAGAAACCATGAGGGCACAAGCAGGAATGATCATGCCTTCCTCCTCTCAGCGTTGGAAGGCAGGTGGCTCCGTTCTGACATTTATGGTCAACACACCCATAAAGTTTAACATCACAGTGAACCCCTCCCCAAGGAAGCTCATTGGGCTGGGGTTCAGGACAGTGGCAGGTGTAGGATGCTCTGCCGTCTTCACACCAGCCGCCATGTTGACAGGGCTCACTGGCACATTCGTTAATGTCCCATTCACACAGTTCACCTGAGGGGAGATAGGACTAGCTGTTAGCTGATAGAGACATTAAAATTCTGCACACGCTCTAATTAATACATTTGGACTGTAAATTCGTGTTGCACGTTCATTCGGTCTATTAAAGGTAAAGAAATGTACCTAAGAATCCAACAGGACATGCACAGCTGTAGCCATTAATCCTGTCCTTGCAGGCACCCCCATTGTGGCAAGGTTCAGATTCACATTCATCAATATTTACTGAGCAGTTCTCTCCTGTGGAACAAAACACACCGGAGGTCTGTCAGTTTTTCAAATCAACACAAGATAAGTTTCTATACTTAATTTAACTTCGCCAACCTGCAAAACCTGGCTGACACTGGCAAATGTATCCAGCTGTATCCGCAAAGCTCAGCTCCCAGTCCACCCAGTGAGATGGATCAGAGCGCTCAAAACATTCCCCGCCATTCTCACAGGGCCGATCAGCACACTCATCAATGTCTTCTTCACAGTTGTGCCCTTCATAGCCTAAAGACAATAACAGAATCATACCATAAACGTCACAAATTATATTATGAAGGATGTGTTTCTTCTTTTAGGGATTAACCTGTTGTCCCTGAAAGCAAGTGAAACATTATTCAGCTGCCTTGTCCTCTAAATCTGCCCTAATTTCTTCATAACTCAGATTGTTGTTGTTGTGCCCCAAAGACCAATAATTCAATGAATAAATGAACAAACATGATCAGATACATAAGTCTGACCAAGAAAATGTTCTCTCCTGACTTCATGAATGTGAACATTTGCTTTTTCACAATCAGTGCTAAAATCAAAGCAAACATTTATTTTGTGTTTGCTTTTGTTAAACTTGTTATTGCCATAAAACTGACTTTTTATCTGAAAATACAAACAAACAATCAAACAAACAAACAAACAAACTCAGACAAGTGTTTACTGTTGTAATACTAATATACATAACAACTTTTAGAACAGTACATGTCAGTTAAACACCCTTTAATGATCGATACTGGTGCAGCATTACCATTAGAACCCGTTTCAGATATACTGACTCAGTATCTGCCTCAGCCCCCTCCTGGCAGGGATCCCCTCATAAAGAATGCACAACAACACAACAGTGCCCTCTGCTGGCAAACCGATGCTTTACCTCAATGTGAAAACAATTATGAATTGAGAAAAACGTTTGGTTGTAGCTGACCTAAGGTAGAACCCTCCCCAGACAGCCTGGTTTAATCTGGGTGGAGAGAGGAACTGGGCATATTGTTGAGCTGTGGAAAGCACACAGATCTCCACCTTGACCTCTACTTAGAAGGCAGAGCCTGTGGATGTGGGAAGAGTTGGGTCCATCATGATGGCAAAAATTCCTGGAGTGGAGGATGGGACAAGGCTTTCATAGCTGCAGACTAGGGCAAAAATTTGGGCCAGAGTGTGTTCCAGCTCCAGAGGTGGGGGTGGGGTGGTATGTTCTCAAGCTTGGTCTGTGAGGGCAACACTGCATGTTTTAGTTGTTTCTCTGGTTAAATTATAGCATGTACAATAGAGGAACCTGTAAATCTCACTGGGAGCAGGGTCTAAGGATGTTGTGAATTCCTGTAGTCATACACAACATTCTTTAGTTTAGACTCATGTTGGGAAAAAACATTTCCCAGGACAACAACTTTTCTGAGTACCTGGCCAACACAAACAGGTATATCCGTTCACTTCTTCCAGACATGTGGCACCGTGCTGGCAGGGATCAGAGGCACACTCAGGGATGTCCACTTCACAGTTATCCCCCTCGAATCCTGTATCACTGCAGTCGCACTCATAACTGCAAGAGACAAAGACCCAGGCTTACTCACATCAAACAAAAAGTTGCATGCATCCCAGGGGGGCATCATAGAGAACGATTGAGAAGCACTGGTTTAAAGTAATCTTGAGATGCTACAGATCTTAAAACCAAAACAATCATTGCGTGATCACCTTTCCTTATTGTCCAACATAAATGACTACATGAATTACTTAGTAATGGATAAAGTAGAATTTCTATATCATATTTTCATCATTTTTACAGCCGCTACGTAGCCGTGCCTACCTGTTCACCATGTCAAGACAGACGGCCCCATTCTGACAGGGCTTACCGGCACACTCATCAATGTCCACCTCACAGTTGATGCCATCAAACCCAGGTGGACACTCACAGGAGTAAAAACCAGTCAGATCATGGCAGGTGGCTCCATTGAGACAGGGGTGGGACTCGCACTCATCCAACTCAGTTTGACAGTTGATTCCTAGGAGACAAGTAGAATTTTCATTTCACATGGAGTGAAACATAAAAGTGGGAAAAAAAAGGTTTTCTTTTTCCATATTGAGATGTTTTCTTTCAACCAATGATAGAGGAAATCAACTTTACAGAATTCACTTAGTTAACTTTGCAGTTACCTTCTCAGTGGCCTGGAGGTAGTTTTCCCTGGAACTGGGAGATCAGGGTTCAAATCCTGGTTGGGCCATACCAAAGACTTTAAAAATGGGACCCAATACTTCACTGCTTGACACTCGATTGGGGGTTAAACCACTAAATAGGTCCCGAGCGCAGCCACCGCTCCCCATGGGGATGGATCGAATGTGGGGATGTAACTTCACCAGTGTGTGATGATGACTATAGGACTTTAACTTTTTATGTTGATCCATTGTTTGCAGATTAGTACCAAACTAAAGAAGCAGGTTTAGAAACGTGTCCTTTTTTGGAAAATGATTGGTCAAAGTGGGTGTGGCTTGTGATCAGATAGATCAGGTCAGAAGACACTCTTGATTAAATTAGGCAGTTTTTAAAGGATTCTTGGAAGTTTAAGTAAAACTGAAATCTGCCAGTTCCAGTTAAAACAGATTGAACTTTTTCCCTAGAAACTTCTTATTTTGACCTGGATCAGATAATTTGTTTATATACAGTAAAATGTTGAATTTCAACACCTCTAACCAAACATGGTTATGAAAGAAAAGCTTTATGTAAGATCCCTCTTTTTTCCCCTCCTCCTGCCCTTTCAACATCATTGCTACCTCCAGTTCTGAATATGAAGAAGTTTTTAGCCCTACCTGTAAATCCTACCAGGCACTCGCACCTGTAATGGTCCTTCTCGTTGATGCAGGTTGCATTGTTCTCACAGGGCTGAGAAGCACACTCGTTGATGTCGATCTCACAGCTAAAACCCTGAAAACCGGGCACACAGAAACAAAAGAACTCTGCTACCCCATCTATACAAATAGCACCATTCTGACAGGGCTCTGATAAACATTCATTCATGTCTTCTTCACACGTCGTTCCCTCAAACCCTGGTGCACAGTGACATTCAAAGCCATTTGGCTGTAGTGCACAAGAGCCATTGTTCCTGCAGGGCTCATCAATGCAGTCAGTTACATGCGTCCTGCAATCCAGACCTCCATAACCAGCAGGACATCTGCAGAAGTACCCGTTCGTCTGGTCTACACACAGAGTACGCGGCTCAGAGCAAGGGTTGCTCTGACACTCATCCACCTCTTCTGTACAGTTGTCTCCTGTCAGTCCATCCGGGCAGATGCAGCTGTATTTGGATGTACCAGGAACGCTGATGCAGTCTTCACAAGCAGCAAAGAAGCAGGCATCATAGAGTTCATCGCAGTTCTTGCCCATGTACTGGACACCGTCTCTGGTACAGAGGCAGGCATAGTCATTCTGGGTGTCCACACAAGTAGCTCCATTCTGGCACGGTGCAGACAAACACCTGTCTGATGCAGCTGTGCAGAGGGTTCCTACAAAACAACAAGCAGCATGAGGTTCTGTACTTCCTAGAAATCTCCACCTCATTTAGTTTTTTGTTTTAGGTCGAACAGTGGGAAGATTTGGTAAATTAAAATAGCCAAAATGCCAAATTTTTGTTGTAAATGGCTGAGTTTTAGGATGCATCTATTATGTTCTTGTAAGCATGGTGACTGGAAGCCCTAGAGCTGTTATGATTTTCTGTTACACATTTTGATCATATAACATAAAGATGAACGCATGTTATTGTCCCATAGGATCGTGCACCTCAGCTCTTTGGCTGATAAGATTGGCATCTTTATGCACTTGTAGGAGTTGGTAAATTGAGTGCTTTAAGAGCTTAATATATAACCTCTACTTATGACCAATGAGCTGTGATACTCTATATAAATATAGAATATCAACCTGCTTGGTCTTCACTGTGTTTAATCAGAAGATTCTAGGATTCTTTGTTTTATTCAGGGATTGCAAACACTTTGCTTTGATTCAGGAAAGAGCCAGGTTTATGAAAGTAAGAATTTATTTTCCAAACAATTAAAACATGACAAGTTAACTAATACTTACGGTTCCATGCTGTCGTTCTTTTTGTAAAACACAGAAACAGTTTTGTTTACCTGTTTTCCCGCTACGTTTCATCTGCGGCTGCAGACTTCTTCAGGCTGACGCTGATGGTGGCGTCACTTCCTTCTCCGTTTATTCACGGGCAGCAGAGGATGTTGTCACCCTCTGCTGCCTGCTCTCCCCTCTCCGACGATGCAGTCCCATGCGCGGTCCAACGTGTAAACTCCATCGTCCCTGTTCATGGTCCCACATCCACGTCTCCTTATCTCGATTGCTTCTTTTATCCATCTTTTGTATTTTTGTTGTTCGGTGTTAATGATCCGTGTGTTGTCCCAGTCCATTATATGGTTTTCTCTTGTGCAGTGATCTGTTACGGCTGACTTCTTTATTGTGCTTTTTGCTTCTTCTTTTGCTGCTCTTGTGTGTTTTCGATTTGCCTCTTTCTCGCACTCCTTTCTATGTTCTTTTGTTCGTGTGTTGAGTTGGCGTCCGGTTTCTCCTATGTATGTTTTATTGCAGAGTTTGCATGGGATTTCATAAATGACTCCACATTTAAGTCCAGCTGATATTTTGTCTTTTGGGTGTACTAGTCTGTTTCTAACTGTTGAGTATGGCTTTGTTGGTGTGTTTATGTTGTGTTTTTTCATTGTTGGTCTTATTTTTTCTGTTATCATAAACACCGAACAACAAAAATACAAAAGATGGATAAAAGAAGCAGTCGAGATAAGGAGATGTGGATGTGGGACCATGAACAGGGACGATGGAGTTTACACGTTGGACCGCACATGGGACTGCATCGTCGGAGAGGGGAGAGCGGACAGCAGAGGGCCACAATGTCCTCTGCTGCCCGCCGATAAACGGGGAAGGATGTGACGCCACCATCAGTGTCAGCCTGAGGAAGTCTGCAGCCGCAGACGAAACGTAGCGGAAAAACAGGCAACGAAACTGTTTCTGTGTTTTACAAAAAAGAACGACAGCATGGAATTAGAACCACGACACAGCAAGAACACACCTCAGATAATATTTACGGTGATGGATGAAATCTAGATGTAGTAAATGGTGCCTATGTGTGAATGCGATGTTACCAGAACTTCCCTATCTAGGAGAGCTGAGTTCTGGGTGTAAAATAATTTGGTTTGTTTTAAGCTCTGAAGTTGATTATTATCAAAAGCACATCAGACGCTATCTGTGTGTCTACTTCACCCGTTCTCGGAGACCCTCTTTGTGGATCCGAAGGTCAGAGAGGTCGGATGACCTCTGGCACCCAGGTCCAGTAGATTGACTACAGCACCGACTTCTCCAGTCCAGAGATGTTTCGGGTCATGACAGATGGATGGAACCGCGCGTCTGGGATTCTTAAGGAGTCGGAACAATATCAGCTTGTTCTGCAGGAACTGTTGCTGTATCAGCTTTGCAGGTGCAAAAAGATTTTGACGGCATGTCAAAATCTTTGATGGGTTTTGCTTCAGATGGCTGGTCTGAAGCTTTCTCAAGAACTGAGGAATCACCAGAGTGATCCGGTTTTAATGTTCTCATGATTTGTGTAGCCAACCAGAGGTTGACAAGTTGAGGAATATTGCCAAGACAACTCAGAAACACGCCTTCTTTGATACCGGATGCTCTGATCTGGGGTAAAGGGCTATCTATGTGTCATGCGTTTGACTTAACTTTACTTTGTCCTTGTGTGAGTGCAAATGGTGATGACCTTGTCATATCAACATGCTGAAACATATTTCAATCAATGTAATCATAACATAACATTCATTTCAAACTTCAATCACTCAAGCACAGATTAATGAAAGCATTTCATTATATTATAATAATTATAAGTAGCAATAAACAAATGTTTATTTAATGATTATCTAACTTATAAGTTTTAAAAGTTCATATTTAATTTAAGAAATCATTCCTTGATTTAGCGACTAATCTGAGCTGCGAGTGTTTCTTATTCAGAGGCATGAAGAATCCTGTAGGACGATAAGGGAAGCTTGAGGCCTTGAGGAGAGAACATCATTGTTGGCAATACGTTATCATGTGTTCAGAGCTGCAGAGAGGCTCTGAGCTTCAGCTGGTGGGATGAAGGCAGACAGATTAAAGGGAACACATGCAGTCTTGTGTCTCCATTATGACCAGATATTGAAGGGTCAAACTGTACTTAAAAGTGACCATTACTGGACATTACACACTAGAGAGTGTCACAACCTGTCCTGTCTCCCCACTCTGTTCAGTCCCGTGGCTCTCCCCTGGAGTTGGCCCACGGCGCTGGGAAGGAACCCGGGCCTCGCCGTCACCTCCAGCCCCGGAGCTGCACCGCGAGCCCACAGCAACCCTTGCTGACGTCACCTCCAGCTCCTCAGTGTAATGAATCAAAAGTTTCTAGCGAAGTTCCGAACTGACCAATTTGGAACAAGCATTCTTGAGGCATCTCTTTTACAGTCAAAACCTGTTTGCACGCTGCAAGCTGACACAGCCAGATGGCTCCCTAAGAGCCACATCCACTTTGGACCAAACAAGCATTCCAGCTACTGTTGTGACCTGGAGACATCTCAAGACTGGACGGGTCGTATCGGAGCTAATCTACGAGCTCCCAGTGTCGTGAGGTCCACCTGACTTCTGACAGTCCAGAACTGCTGGGGGTCTCCGCCAGGGTTCATAGACACAACAGATTGGGTCTGATGCTGTTTCATTAATAATCAACTCTCTAGTTTATAGCAGACAACAAATTATTTTACACCCAGATTTCACAATTTCTTTCAGATACCAAGATTCTGATAAACATCTAGCTCACATCACATTCCCTCACCGCATATCCACTCCATCACATCTCATTATTCATATCTTGTCATGTATAATCATTAGTTTAGAAAAGAATAAAATTCCATTTTAACTACATACTTGACTCTGAGTTAATACGAAGTGTGTTTATGGTCCCTGAACAAGTAAAAGTAACTATAATCTTCTGATTAAACTTCAAAGATCAATCAGGTTGATATTTCATATTTATATGGAATCATCACACCTTGTTGGTCATAATTAATTTGCAGGCGTCACTGTATTGTTTTTTTTGTGACTTATTGTTTGAATACAAGACTGTAGGGATGAAACAAATATTCAAATATTTAGATTAAACTGACTATAATAAATGTTCCAATTACATTTCCTAATTCGATACTTTGTTTTATGCATCGATTATTTTTGCAGTGTACCGTGAAGAAACAAAACTACTCGCAGACATACCAAGGTGTGTTAGTGCCACGAGGGATCAGATGACTTAATGATGTGTGTTGATTTTTAAACATGCATGTGCCTAATGCCACTGGATCACCAAAGCAGTCCTGTACCGGTGCAGTTGTTGGATTCAGTCTGGATACACTGGTTTATCACATCTTCGTTTAAACAGAATTCAATTTGAGCGATTCAATGACGAAGAAAAAAAATCATAGGGAGGATGGAATTTCACGAAAAAAGTAGAAATACTCATTTTTATTTTAAAAAGTCAAGTGCACACCAATTTAACAATCACTGAAGAAGCAAACCTTTTCTTTCTGCTGACGCAAACAGTATTTATTCTGTGCTGGGTGTTTTTTTTTTAACTGAATAAACAATATAAACACCCAGAATCTACAGGCTACAAGCTGTTGAAATAAACAGGTCAACAACAAACACAAGTAAACAAGGTAAACAAAACAAAAACACTCTAAAATCTGGTTTAATGTGCTAATTGGGTCCTAAATTGTTTATGCTGGTGTCAACACAATGAAACTTTGAATTGAGAACAGGTAGTCTGTTATCCAACCTTTTTAAGGTACAGTCAACAAAAAACTAGAAAGGCCAGAAACGAAACATCAAATGAAAGCTTTGTATACGTAACTAAACAATATTCTGAGTGGTGGAAGGTGTTTCGTGCTGCCTTTAGAGGTCTGATTCTCCTGACAGATGGTTGGAGCTCAAATTCACCTTCAGGTCCTGCTCAGGACTGGGGATCAGGTCTTAAGACGCTAAAGTGACTCACCTAAATGGTTTCAGACAAATCAGGTAAATTAATACCTCTGATTCTACTACCAACCTTACCGACACCTTCTAACCTTGTAATGTCCTTTTCTCTTTAAGTAAGAAAAGCACGGTCACCGGTACAACCATGGTGTTATGAGAGATAGTCAGCATCACTCTCTCAGGTCAGTGAGACATATCATCATTACTATTGTGTTTTTGGTGCTTTTGTCTTAATCCTTCTGGTAGCTTTTTTAGTCTGCTGAGCTGATGGCTGACTTTAGTTGTTTCATCGTTTAAACCTCTGGTTAAAGTTTATCCTCTCTTCATTCTAAAGCAGGGACATTGTGTGAGAACTTAACAGATTGCGGTGGGCTGCAGGAGTGTTAAAGAGCAAGTCACCCCCTACAAGAAACTTACTTCACTCCCTCTTCATGTTTGA